GTTTCTGTGTCTGTAATGGTGAATGTCAATGTGCTATGAAAGCCTTTAACCTCAAGAAATCCTGCTTGGTTTCTCCCCACCCCAACTTCTCGCATTTTTGAGATTTTTAGTATATATTTGCAGTTTTTAAGGGATTCTTTAAAAAAGGAAAGCTAAATTTCTCAGGATGCATAGTTCTGTACACAGTGCACAATTATGTTGTGTTTATGGGTAACATCTCCCATTTAATGTACAACACAATGAGTGGCAGCATTTGCATAAAGCAGGGGATGGAGGCTGATTCGTGCCACATATATCACTTGATATTTCATCACTTGATGGCACACAGCTGTATGTGTGGACCGAGTCCATTGAAGCGCATGGAGGCTAACGTACAAGTTCCGTTTGTGGGATTGCAAAGGAATCATCGCGTGTCCAGTCCTATAGGGAGAACATGCACTAAGGCCACATTAGTTGTCAGCGGTTCACACGTTCTGCTGTCAAATCACCCAGTGTGCAAGGATTGTGTAGAACAAAGTCAAGTGATGCATTGGCACATATCTGTGCGTGAGAATGAGACCTGTGTGACTGCAGAGTCGAATGGTGAGGTGTGAGGGAGCGAATGTGCCCATAAAGATCCATATGTGAGCATCAGTCTTGCAGGCTTCACACACACAGATGTACACAGACATACCTGTACAGTGGTGCCTCGCAAGACGAAATCAATCCGTTCCGCGAGTCTCTTCGTCTTGCGGTTTTTTCGTCTTGCGAAGCAAGCCCATAGGGAAATTCGTCTTGTGGAACGACTCAAAAAACGGAAAACCCTTTTGTCTAGCGAGTTTTTCGTCTTGCGAGGCATTCGTCTTGCGGGGCACCACTGTACATCATTTGATTTCTCTGCATCTGATTCCTGCACACAGAAAGGTTGCCAGCTGAGTGTGTGAACTGTGATTCCACTAAAAGCACTTTTATTTCAGGTGAGCTGAGCAGATGTAAAAGTTCTGTGCTTGAAAGTGCCTCAAGTGCTTAAGAGACTGCTAGAAAATCCAGTGGGTTGGATTTGTTTCAGGTTTGGAGGATCAGGACGGCTGATCTGCACCTATGTTTTCTTTTTTGTGTGGTTATAGCACATGTCCATTAGTCAGAGCTATTTAGGTACCATTAGCCAACTATTCATTTATTAGCACCTTCCCATGTCTGTTGCCTGCTTTTGGCACACTGTGAATGACATTATGTGCTTTAATCCACAGGCGGTAAAGTGTGATGGAGTGTTTTGCTTCGGAGCACGGGGAAAAGAGATTAGAATCAGAAAACTTTCCATGCCCTTATGATTCTGTGGTTAGAAGTGTTTGTGTGTTTTTTCTATGATGGCGCAAGCACATTACCTAGTATCTGGTACAAAAGGCAGCATCCTGAGCATCTCAGCTTTCTTTTTCAAATAAAGATTCTAGACTTTATGATTGCAAAGATGTACTTGAAGGCACAAGGGCAATGCCTTATGAAATCTCAAACCAGAGGAGTTTCTGAACAAAGGTTTCAATATCTGTATCCTTTCCCCACATTTAGAGGCCAAGTGGCGACGACAGCAACAGTGCCTTTTCTGCAGTGGCCCCTTCTGCTCTGTATTGTTCTCTTTCAGAGGCGGCTCGGCCGACACTCAACTTGGATTAGCTTCAGGCCCAAAATTAAAGTGCTTTTATTTGCCCCGGTTTTTACCACCACTGGTTCTTATTGCTTCTGCTGCTCTTTCCGTTTGACCGTGTTGTCTTTTTTATTTCTTTATATTTTGCATATCAAAATTGTCAGCCACCTTGGAAACTTTGTAATCGAAGATACAGATTTTATAAAGCAGGGGTGGGCAAACCTGTGCAGCCCTCCGGATGCCACGGGACTCCCAGCTCCCAGCTCCCATCACCCCTCACTCTTGTTCTATACTGGATGCCGCTGATGTGAATTGGAGTCCCAAGAACTCCAGGAGGGCCTCAGGTTAGCCGTACTGCTGGATTCTGATCAGAGCAGCAGCAACTGCATTGCTAAGGGATCCAGAAAGAAGCAGGGCCACTTGTGTCCAGAACACAACTTGCCAGCTAGTTTCCCCTTGGGGTTCTTTTTCTCAGTTAAGGCTCTTTGATTGTCTCAGCACAGACTCCTCACAACCTTGTCTGTAGTCCCTTTCTGCATTGCCTTAGCCCACTCCGCTTTTGCTACCTTCCTCCCTATATTGGGCTGGTCACCGCTGAGCTGGCTGGGCCGCTAGCAGCCCCCCGCTGGCTGCCCCAGCCCAGGCCCCTTTTGCCCTCGAGTTTGCAAGCTGCTTCTTTTACAGAACAGCCCTGAAAGCGAAGCTGAGCACAAGAAGGACCCGAGCCGACCCGACGAGTGGGAGCGAGAGAAGGCCCCTCCGCGACCTGAGGGAAGAGGCCACTCCCCTCCCCGGGGCACCAGGAGGGAGCGGGTGAGCCCTGGGAGGAAATCAAGCGGCACCAGGGATGGTGGGTGGGAAGAGGCAAGGAGGATTTGGGAGGAGGAGGAGGCGGCAAGGTGAGGTGGCGGGCGGGCAAAGGTGCTGGGGTTTCTCACTCGCGCTCCTTTCCCTGGCAGAGCGGCTGGGACACCTCAGAGAGCGAAGAGCTCAGTGAAGGGGAGCTGGAACGTCGGCGCCGGACTCTGCTGCAGCAACTGGGTGACCAGTAACCACCGCGGCCTCTTTTGAGGCTCCCCTTCCACACACGCCAGACCCAATTGGTCCTTGTTCCTGCGTAGGCTGTGGCTTCCTTTGGCTGCGACAGCGCCCAAGCCAAGCGTGTGCACTGCTCTGGCCCGGAACCTGCACAATTGGGCTGCAGTGCCCCCCCTCCACCCCCCCTGCTTGCTTCCGAGTCGGGAGCAGGCCCTGCCCACTGGCAGGGACGGCCTCCATCGATTCCCCCTGTCTGCATGGAGCCACCAGGACAGGGAGGGAGGATTTGGCTGTACTGTCTGGACCTAAAATTCAGAACCAGCTCTGGGATCCAGCCTGAAGAAGATTAGGGGGAATAGGGTTAGGGGCCCCTCCGTGCATCAGTTGGCAACGTAGCACAGGAGCAAATGGCATCTCTTCTCGACGTTTCACCAGGGCTGCACCTGCTTGGAGCCTCCTTGGCCTAGAACCAGAATGGCAGGGTCCAGTTTGTTTATCACAGCATCAGCCCTGCCTGGGGAACGTGGTCCAGGAATGGGGACAGGATGTATGTTCCTGGTTGTTTTTTGTTCTTCTTTTTTTTTTGAAGGTTTGTCTCAGTGACTGGATCCTTCTTTCTGGTTGCAGTACCCCTTGTGTGTTGAGGATTCAGTGGGATTTTTCAAACAATATTTATAATAAACTTGAACTAGAATTATCCTTCTCTGGTGGGCCTCCTGTAGAAGATTGGTTTAAATTTGAGAAATCTGAAGCTTGGCTTATCTTTCTTGGACATTTTGGGGAAATATTGGGGTGGGTGTGTTTTGTTGCATACCACAAATCTGTGGCTGCGTCTGCTCACCAGCATAGTGGGGAAGGGGATTTTCGGAGGAGGGCAACATAGGTGTGCTTTACACTGGCTTGCACATTGCGGACAGATGTGCAAAGGAGGGAGGAGAGTCAAGTCACAAAAGGAAAGCTGTGCAGAATCATGGAAGTGCATATAATAAACAAAGCACAAGTATATTGTGTGTATGCAGCAATAAATACGCACACAGACATTCCTCAGTAAGAATAAGCCATTTGTGCAATGCTGATCAGTTTATTTGCACAACTGATCTTTTTTTACTGATGGATGTCACACTTTTAATATATCTAATTCAGTACACTAGTGTTTGTTTTATGGTGTGCATTTGTTGTGCGTCCCCCCCACAGCTCCCATCCTGCCAACTCCTTATTCTTTTGCAAATGTGAAATGCAATTCCAAAATCTGGCAGCTGGGTAGCACCTTTAGTGGGAACACCTGAAATGTCACAAAGGTATGGCAAGCTTTCAAGTTCTCCATAACTCTTCCATTGGGCAAGATCTTACACAGAGCACTAGGTGGGGTGGGGGAGTACATAAACTAGGCTGTTGTAACTTGTAGTCCTAAAGTCAGCTTGTAGACTCGGTTCTAAGCTGGGAGATCTGAGGATGAATAATTCTCTTTCCCAGGTGCTACAGCTATCAGGCTACACCGTTAAGATTTTGAGATGAAGAAGCTGGGTCACCCAGATCTGTCCTAAACCTTAAAAACAAAGCACACAAGTTCCTGGGGTAGGTAGAGAGCAGACGTAAAGAGAAACCCATGAGTTTTTAAATTCAGCAAAGCCTGGGGTTAATTTGGGTCGTGTGCATGTTTAGAAACCTCTGGCTCTTCTAGAACGCAGCGTTCAATGCAAAGAGAAAAGATGCACCTGTTGTTTTGCCCAGCTTTTGGTCTCTGGCAACGCACACCACTGGGAGTCCTGAATAGGAATGTGAGCCTTGGGCTAGGAAATGGCTCTGCACCCCATCTCTTGTCAAATGGGCACCCATTGTTCCAGGAGCTAAAAGCAAAGTGTGGCCAAGAAGAGGCGAGGAAACTGCACAGGTCTTAAAGCAAACATGATGGTGGTGAGGTAGGAATAAATTGTTGAATGGTTTCTTTAAATGTAAAGGTTCATCATTGTTCCACTCAATGTGTATGTCTTCAAGGGGCCAGAGCAAGGGCCAGAGCAAGATAACGAGACCCAGCTTTACAGCTGTGAAACATAGCAGGTGCTGCTGAGTTGTATTTGATTAAGGTGTGTCAGCATCTGGGTGTAGTATATAAGGAGCAGCACCTAGCTCTCCCATTACCCTGGGGGATGGGTTGGTGGTTGGGTCTGGTTTGGTTGTTAATGTATTTAGTGTAAAAGGAGTTTTTGTTTTTCTTATTAAAACCTTGTTTAAGTTATTTTTGAGTCCTTTTCATTTTTAATGCATGGTCTCCCCAGCAAGCTCTCTGCAGCGCTACCATACTGCAAAAAGCCAACATAAATCAGATCCTCAGAGACAAAGCTCAGGTGGATAGCCTTTTCATTTGTTTGTTTTATTTTCTCCGCCTTCTCCCATTAGTAGAAATTCTGTACAGTTCAAAGGGGGGCGGGCGGGAGAGGAGGCACTGGCTTACAATACAGTCAATAATATTTCACATGTACAAAAAGTTACATCTAGCTACACAAAAGGACTACGATGGAGTGGATACGCTGTAAACTGTCCAGAAGCAGCACCAGGAAGATTCCAGCCTGCTTGGATTGAGCCTTGCTTGCCCTCTTAGCTGTGGCAAAGGCCTTTGAAGGGGTGGTTGGTCCCTTTTGCTTTTTGGGTGGGTGGGGAAATAGTGTTTGCTCCAGAAGCAACTGTGTCTGTAGCCCAGCTTCCCCACTTCCAATTAGTGTTAAAATAGTGTTCCCTGTGCGTACTTGTAAGCAGTTTCACACCCACCTTTATTTTATTTTTTAAGACTTAGAGCAGGGCTTCCAGCATGGTGCCCGTGGGTGCAAATGTGCCCACAAAGGCCCTCCCTTTTGCCCATGTGGTCCCCTCCCCCAAGTTCAGCTTGAAAGAAGCATTGGGGTATGTATGTGTGTAAGAGAGAGGCCTGCAGCACTTTCTCCAGTTTGCAAATGTGCCCATGAGCCCCCACAGGTTGGCGGCTGCTGACAGAGAGCTCTGTTTCTTTGCTAGCAAAGACAAATGTGTCATGTGAGCGTGTCCTGTAAGCTTTGGGTATACAGTGCAGGAAACCTAAATGCGACAACCTTGTGCCAGAAAAAAACCATATACATTCACAAGAGTCGGATTTCCTCAAATCTGCTGCAAAAGAATCATTGCACAAGTATGTGAGCTTGCTGCTGGTGGTGGTGTATTAAGGGAGCTGATTCACATATCCGTGTCCATCACTGAGTCAAAGCAAGGCCCAATTCTGTTTCCAAAATAAGCCAGCCAGGTGCTTCCAGGAAGCTCCAAACTAGAGCCCAGTGTTTGCTCTGCTGTTTCTCCCCATCTTCTAGGAGTCAAAGGGGTACTGAGACCAATCTGGTGTAGTGGCTTAGAGAATTGGGAGGAGGTCTGGGGAGACCTCCGTTCAAGTCTCCACTTTGGCCAGTCACTCTCACACCCTAACCCACTTCACAGGATGTTGCGAGGATGAAATTGGGAGTGTGGCGAGGGGAGAAATTTGTTGGCCACCCAGAGCTCCTTGGAGGAAGGAGCAGCATTTTATTCCTCTGCAAGGAATTGCTATGTACTGTCACAGCCAATATATGTTGCTTCCTCAAGGAGATGTGTGGCAGCTGAATGAGCGAACCAGCTCCTCCATTTGGGATTACATGTTCTGGCTTATCTGGTGACAACTCATTTGCACAGTGTAACCCTGCATATGACTACTTAGAAGTAGGCCCCAGTGAATTCAATGGAACTTGCTCTCAGGCAAGTGAATATAGCCTTGCAGCCTCAAACATGCAATTCCTGTTGCAGTAAATCAACAGATTGCGTGTGTGAACAAGATCCAACTCCCTCCTCCTGTAAGCAAGTTGGGCTCATGATTTAAAGTGGTCACCTAAGAGTAGAGGAACCCAGAGCCAAGTAATTACTTAGGTTAGGGTTCATACTGTTGTGGCAATGGGCTGTGTAAATGGATCACTCTGGTCTAGCATCAAGGTTTAAGAGCTCTTGTGTAATGAAGCACCTGGGCCTCTTCCAGATGGTCACTATTTTGCAGGTGGAATTCAATAATATGCCAGCAAATTTAGACCATGCAATTAAAGTGGATTTTGCACTCATGCACAATGAAGGCACATCCATTGTTAAAAATTGACTTTTTGTGGCAAGGAAAGTGATGGGGAAACAAGGGAAGGTGAGGGTTAACAACTGCTTAATGCAATGTCATAAAACCACACAATTCGGAATGAATGCTCAATAAGCAGTGGGCATCATATATCTATCTCCTTCTCACGAACTTTTTGAAATCAGGATCAACGTCCAATAAATAGATTTGCTTGGAAGAGCCTCTGATTGTGCAGGTGTCCCAGATGTACAAAGGAGTAGGAGCTCATGTGTCGGGTTTTCTCTAGGCACAACTGCATGCAACACAGTTGTTGAAGGAAGATGTGACGTCAAGAGTGGGATTAAAAGTGCAGCCCCAAATACACACTACATGTGAAAAACTAAGGGATTCTAGGGCATGCTTTTAGTTTGGGCAGGAACACTCATGCTTTATCCTACAAAAGCAAATTGGGGGGGGGGTGTCTCCAAGTGACTGAGTGCATCACTCGCATCCCAATCCTTCCTAATACACCACCAGGATATAAATCAAATTGAACCAGTCAGAATTTCTCTCTTGCACACATACGTACATAACATACATCCCCAGCGCCTCTATTAGTGTTTCCCATGCTCCTTCTTTCCCACGTTTCACTTACTGCTTCTAAATACATTCTGCCCTGTATCTGCCCATCCCACCCACAAAGCTGTTTCTCTTCCGCTGCCTTCCAGTTGCAGATAGGGCTGCCAGGTCTTTATCTGTAACTGGGCCATCAGACCAAGAGCGCAAGCCTTATTTCCTTACCAGATTCCTTTGACCACCCTCCTGGTATATGAGCTTTCCGAAAAATAACACTGATGCCACAGTTCCATCCTCATAACCACCAACATGAATTCAAATTTCCACTTAACCTATTAAGTAGGCATTGAAATGGTGGGTTATTTTACTGTTCTCTGCACGTATGCATATTACAGAGTGGATAAAGGCAGCCTTGCAAATAAAGTCTGCAAAAGTTACTAGTCTACGAGAACGGCTAGTGCATTGAGTCACTAATATCTCTGTTGGCATTTCCTGGCCTCAGCTACCTCCCTGCACTGCCCCCAGTTTCCCCATCTGGTCACTTGGAATAACCAACCGAGTAGCTGATTGCAAACCTATTTAAAGGCCAGTAAACTTGCTTAGATGAAATGTACACAGAGGACTTCCAGGGAGCATCTGGCTGGTCACCATTGGAAACAGAATGTTGGACACTGGGCTGACCCACAGCAGATTTACCTGTGCCTTTAGTGGCTCAATCAACACTTGCCCCTCCTCTGAATGGGATGATGTGACTGATTTCAGTGGACATACTTCCCAGCCTAGTGGCCTTCCTCTCAGTGAACCTAGCTGTTGAGGAAGATGCAAGGTTCCTTGCAGGTAACCTGTGCTAATTGGGAAGTTAGAGGCAGCTGGATTATTGAGGGAAGATGGTAGCTGATATGCAAAGTATGTTGAGGTGGAAATGGCTGCTGGATTTTGCGGTGGGGGTGGGGGGTTGGCTTCTTTGGAATATCTGGGTTCCCAAACCTGGTCACTGATTTCTCCACCTCACCCACAAATGGTTTGGAGACTGCTGCTTTGAATATTTTAAAAAAACATTCGAGAAATAGTTTACATGGAAGTTTAACGTCAGACCTTCATATTCACAGGACAGAAACAAAAGGCAAAATATATCCAGCATACAATGACCAAAAAGGAAAAGAAATGAGTCAGTCTAGGACCTGGCAGTTCTTTCGGCAGAATTATTTTCTGTTCCACAGAGCTCCAAAATTTACAACCCATTCTGCTCTGCTGCTCCCCAGCAAAGTGATGGGGCCTTGCTCTAAGGCTTCCTTACCTAGGAGTAAGCACCATTGACTTCAATGGGCTTTACATCTGAGTAACCATGCACAGGATGAACATATAAAGCTGCATCAGTCCATCTAGCCCTGTTCGTTCAGACTGGCAATGGCTTTCTAAGGTCTCAGGCAGAGTGGGAGAGGCCTGAACCTGGAACCTTATGAAGTGCAGGCTTTAGGCTCCTAAGGGGTCTCATCTAAAATACAGGCCTCGGGTTGCCTTTGGGCAGGATTCAAATCCACAGGTGCAAACCTAGCAGGGGTGCTGGGCCTAAACCACAGAGCCAATTTTTCCCGGGACACAATAGCTCAGCCATAAGCACTGGGTTCCCTGCAAGAGTCACCCTGAGAGTCTTTGGCACGGTTTATATACAGACGGTTAATGCAGGGAGATGCTTCTGCCATGACTAACGCTCTAGAACGCCAAGCATCACTGCTTTTCGCAGGTGTGCCCAAGCAGAAGGATTTGCTGAATCCTTCCTGATCAAGTGGTTGATTCCTTCCATTGTCTAGATAACTAGGATGCCACGTGTTCTGAAATCCCAGTTATCTCTCCACAGACTTATGGAACCAAAGTCACATAGGAGCATTCTGCTGTGCAAATGCTCTTGTGAGTAGTTGGCCATGCTTTGGAGCCTGGGGTCAAAAGATCAACAGGACTCACCTGGGTCGGCCTTGGAAAGAAATATGGATGAATATTCAAATACAGGAAAAAGGACAATTTCATATTCGTAAGCTCTGTTGGAGCCAGCCCTATCTAAAGATCTCTTTGGTATATTAAGATCTATATAAACCTCTTTCACATAAAGCTAATTGCTTCCTGCTTCCAGAAAGTGGCTAAACCCCCAAGGGAGTAAAGTTGATTCCCTGAATTAAAAACAATTGAAGAAGCAATCCTGCTTTCATTGTCAAATGGCTTTATCCTAATGCTATCTGCAGCTCTGATAACTTCTGGACTAACATCTTTGGTCGCGGGGAAGCATTAAAGCAGGTTAAGAGGAGATAAAGTGGGTCCTCTTTTTCCGATTGTCTTAAGAAACATCATGGCCTGGAAACTGAGACCGAGGTTCAGATAGGAAGGCAGCAATTGGCCATCATAGTGCAAGGGCCAAAAGTGGTCTACCTTTTAGTATGATGAGTCAGGTACCAGAGGCGGCTGATTCCTGGCACCCTCATGAGGTAACATCGACTGGAAAGTTATTTGCTGAAAGTCTCACTGATATTAATGAGCTCATTCCATTTATTTCAATGAAACGTTCGCTGATGGGTTCTGTTCCATGTTACTTAATGGGAAGTAGAGAGGGGCACCATTTTGACAGTAATGAATTAATGGCTACAAAATGGCTCCCTCCTGCATGCTAATATCTCACTTGCTATTTTTGTTACCTGCAGCATTTAACTTCTTGAGGATGATTCCCAGGCTACAATTTAGTGTTTTTACCGCAGGTATACAAATGTATACCTGGCCTTAGGGATGGAGGAGAGTTTCGTTCTGTCCCCCTTTTAAAGTGAATCAACAAAGTTGCCATGCAGCCACCCTGGACAAATACACAGTTCAGAACATAATTGTCCTCTGGATTTTGCAATAAAAATTCTCAGGTCAAACAATGTACCAAAATGCGTCAAAAAGGCATATTTTAGGATGACATGCATTTAGAAATGCATACACTGAGATAAAATACATATTTAAGAACAGATTTTGGTACATTAGAAAAAATACTGCACATTAATGCAGGAACAGACTTATGAACGATCACATACAAAATTGACACAATTGGGAAATAAGATGGATCCGCCCGTCCCTAGCTGGTTCTGAAAGATGCAACATTCATACATAACCATTGGTGCTTGTTCTGAGGGGTTCAAGAGGACATAGCAGGCAAGCTAGATTTGACCTGGTGAGAATTAAGGCATTTGGTCCAGTAAATGAGAAGAAAGCTGTATCTAAAACACCATACATGAACTGGAAGCATAATTTGGTCCTCTGGAAAATAATGAGAATAAGAAAACTAAAAAAATTAAAAACTGGGCAGCATCAAAAGTTGCCTGTAACCTACCTAAGATCTTTCTTTTGATAATCAATGGTTGGCTCATCACCGTCGTTTCTCTGCTGTGCGAACACCAGGGTCACTTCGTGCAGTTGAGACATGAGACTTTTGGTCTGAAGGTTTCCCCTTTTGAAGAAGGATTCCAGTGGTTTTTCGAAAGGCCATCGGCGCCTAGCTTTTAAGCTCTTCAATGCCAGCTCAATAGACTGCTGCTCCAAGAAGAACACAGTATTGCTGAAGGCTGCTCCAGAAAAACGTTGCTGGTCCACAAAACTATGCGCCATACACAAAGGTCTACTAATGGAAATACTCCCCCCCCCAAAGAAAACACCCCACACTCCCGCATTGCATTGTGACTCCAGCCATGCTGATGTCCTCTGTCTCAATCCAGTCAAAGTGCAATTTTGGTCCGGATGCTCAAAGAAGGGCTGTGGCTTGAGAAGGGGCAAGCCAGACACCTGCTGGCCAAAGGCACTTCTAAACAACCGAAACAGCCTTGTCCTTCAGAGCTGGCTCAGCGAGGGGACAGGAGGAGCAAGGGCTGACGGGAAAGGTCATATATGTACAGATTAAAAAATACACCTTAAATAATAAGAGAATAACAATAATACTGTCGCAGTAAGGCACTTCCTAAATGTCCCTTTGGTTCTTCAGCTTAAAATGTTTGAAAGGATGGAAGTTTTTTTTTTCTTTGGCAAAAGGAGAACTAGGCCTGGGCTGTTGGGAATGCAGCATTAGCCCGTTGGAAAGGCAGGGTATGCAGAGCTCTGTGGGAGAAAGGAACAGCCAGTCAGGACGGGAGTAAAGAATTGCTGGAGAGACAATGCATAAGCGGTTGCTGTCGGGGGCATTAAAGACTGTGAGGCAGTTCATGTACCATTTGGAGTGGGGTGAAAGACAGGCGGCAAGAGTTCTTGCCCCTTGGGGGCATATAACCACCCACCCAGGCCACCCCTCTCCACATTCCCCCTTTTCAGGCAAGAGCATACGAGACACTTCTTTGCCAGAGTATCAAACGATGGGTTCCGTGGCAGGCTAGAAAAATAAAGGGGCTACCCCCTCTCCCCGCCAGTGGGGGCTATGGAGCAAGACTGAAGGTGGCTGAGGATGACAGGCAACTGTGATGGCCAGTTCTCTGTCCCAAGGGCAAACTTTTCATTTTGGTGTCTCCTACTTAGGCAGAAGCAGCAAAGCAGAGGAGAAAAGGCTCTGGGCATCCAGAGAGCTGTTGTTTCTTACCCTCTGCCGCGGTTGAATTGAGAGGGGACTAGAGGCAGATGGTTCTTGCTGCTATGGAGGGGATAAAAACAAAAATTAGGCCAAATTGGGAAGTGGTGGGTGGGAGGGAAAGCTCTTCTCCCCTGGGGGCTGGATTCTGCCCTCGCCAAGCCTTGTAAGGAGCCACGAGGTCTGGAAAAGCACCAGCTCATCCAATTGCCTGGGATGGCATGGTGGTGTTGGGGATGGAGCTGCTAAATCTTTAAACCAAACTCTCTGGTGCCCAGCCTCTGTGGCTCCCAGCTCTATCTGCACATTGCTAATGATGGGGATTCCCTGAGTTGCAGTCGAAACAGTGCAACTGATTCCCTCACAGTCCACATGCGCTGGGACTTCACCGTGCTCTTGGGAAACCACTGGGGGATCAGATCAGTGCTGCCTTCTCCATGGGGGCACCCCAAGGACACTGCCTGTGCTCCCCACTGTTTGCTACTGCACCAAGCTGGCACTGTAGGCAGTCAGTGCGTGGACATGTTCTCAAGTCAGGGGTGAGGAACCTGTGGCCCTCTAGATGTGGCCTGGCTGCAGATCCATCATCCCTGACCACTGGTCAGGCTGGCTGAGGCTGGTGGGAACTGGGAGTCCCAACGACTCCAGGGTGGCAGCCACAGGTTTCTCGTCCCTGCCTTGAAAGTCTTGGGCTTAAACCCGTCCAGACACACTGAGTGCAATCCAGAGAAAGCTAAGGCATGCCTAAATAATCAGACCTGGCATTTATCAGAGCACCAAAAGTCCTTCGCGGACAATCCAGCCGCAGACTTAAATGTGATGAAGCCCATTGGCCTTAACTGTGCTTCATTTTGTATTGTTCTGTGGCCATTATGTCAGCCATCCTTGCAATAACTGTAAGGTAGGTCAGCATTATCTACCCCCATATAGCAGGGAGGGGCTGAAGTTGAGAAATAGTGGCCTTAAGGTTGCCTAACAAACTCATGGCTGGCGTGAGATTTGAAGCTGGAGTTTGACTGTTGGCATTTACTACATCTGTTTGCACGTCACTTCCAGTCATTTTTATGAGTAAAATGGTGGTGGCGACAACGACTACTACTACCACTACTAATGGTGCTAAATACATGCAAGCATCTATAGGAACACAAAAATATAGGCACTGCCTTATACTATTGGCCCAGCAGCCCAGTAAGAACACATGACGAGACTTGCTGGATCAGGCCATGGCCCATCTTGTCCCTTATCCTGTTCTCACAGTGGCCAATAAGCTGCTTCTTGGGAGGCCCACAAAGCAAGACCTGAGTGCGAATGCTGCTCTCTTCCCACTTATGGTTCCTTCCCAGCCACTGGTTTTGTCCACTCTGCCTGGCAGTCGCTTTCTAAGGGCCACCAGCTAGCTGATCTTCCGGGAGACCTCAGTGGGCATTTAATTCAGCAAGATTTGGGCATGCCTCTGTATTGCGCCCAGTTTGCATATTCAGCTCTTATATGGAAACAGAAAGAAGTCCAGAGATGAGAATCTGCATGAATTTTGCCTCTTTGATTAAAAAAACAAGGTTGGCCAAAATATAGCCTGTTTTGGGTGGATAAATTATCATGCAGATCATATTTGGATCAAATGAAACTGTTAATTATTCTATTTGCAGCTCCCCTTCCTCCAAAATATACATTTTGGCCGTAATTATACAGCTACTTTTCCAGGAGAAACCCCCATGGAACTCAACGGGACTTGTTTTTCAGTAAAGCTTGCAGTCTTGATCTCACTCCATGGTTTTTTAAACAGTCTCTTTCAGATGTATTGGGTGGGTGCAAGAGGCATATTTGAACGCGCCCTTGCAAAAAGAACCATATAGATCTATATATTAAGGCACGCTGAAGTGGTACAGTCCCTAAAGCAAGACATACCATGAGAGTTTGCTGCTTGTGGAAACTGGCCCTAGGTTGTAATCGGCCACACTATGTTGACTGCACAGTTAGACAGTGCTGTTTTCACCCCCAACAAGAATTCAGGCAGCAACCCCCACCCCCACCCCCACTCTTCAATCAAGAGAGGATTTAGTAAAGCTACTCTACTGCATTAGTGTGATAAGATGATCTGATAAACAGACTGGAGAATGATGCATGCGAATCAAGACAGGGGGTCTGTAACAACCTCATCATGCCCACCATGCAAGGTATATAGACAACAGAATTGTAGATACAAGATGATGCCTCTGGGTTCATGCAGGGATTCTCAACAGTGAAAAGGAAGATGCAGTGAAGGGGCTTTTTTTTTTTGAGGGGGGTCACTTTTCTCTTAAAATACTTAATTTCTGGTCTTTTAAATCAACCAGCAAGTTTCTATCCTTCATGATAGCAGAGAGAACCCTGGAAATGTATAAGGATGGAAGGCAGTGTGCAATTCTGTCCAAAGGAGAATTCTGGCAGGTGCAGCTTGTCGTGTGGAAGTGAGGGGAAATTTCCTCTCTCTCTCTTTACACAACTAATTGAAATGTACCGGAGCCTCGTCTTGTGCATCAGGTCACCTTGGAGGCAGCCTGGAAAGAGAAGCTCACACAGGCATCAACTACAGTGGTACCTCAGGCTACATATGCTTCAGGTTACATACACTTCAGGTTAAAGACTCCACTAAGCCAGAAATAGTGCTTCAGGTTAAGAACTTTGCTTCAGGATGAGAACAGAAATCAGGCTCCGGCAGCGCGGCAGCAGCAGGAGGTCCCATTAGCTAAAGTGGTGCTTCAGGTTAAGAACAGTTTCAGGTTAAGTACGGACCTCCGGAATGAATTAAGTACTTAACCTGAGGTACTACTGTACTGTCATGATTCCTGAGCAGCACCGCTGAGTCGACAAAGCAACTCTCTATAAGCCTCCATAACAAAATTTCCGTGACCTGGCTTCGGACTACAATTCCCATCAGCCCCGTGTCGGCTGGAGCTGATGGGAGTTGTTGTCAAAAAAAACATGGAAGGCACCAGGTTGGAAGCCAGGCTGTTGTATAGTGATGGCAATTCTCTGCCCAGTGGGGCCTCTGAGAAGAGGTTGGGAAGCCCTGAGATCATGGGAGGAGACAGCAAGGCATGCAGGAGGGGAAGCCTGGGCTCTGTGGAGGGAGGAGCTGCATGCAGAAGAGGAAGAGACGATCCACGGGTACCTTTGACGAGGGAGAGGGCGGAGCTAACAGTTAGGCTCGTCATGGTGGGATGGCTCGCAGAAAAAGCGAGACCCCCGCTTCGCTGTGCGGGCAGTGAAGGGGACGCTCTTCAACACTGCGGGGTGGGAGGGGAACGGACAAAGACATACAAGATACGTCAGACAGCGAGAAACACGGTGGGCGGCTTATTTCACAGAACGTGGATGCAGATATACTCGGGACGTCTTAGGCATGGGGCATATACGGCTAGTGCATCAAGGAGGGGACTATCTCAGGGAAAGAAGCCCAGGGCCAGAACTTTGTCATACACATTTGAAATAAAGCCTCCGGAAGGCAAAATGGTTTGTTTTACAAGAACAGTAACGCCAGTGTTATTATTAGCGCCTCTCAGGAGGCTACATTGGAGATAGCCTACGGGCAGTCCAGGCTGCAAAGCCACAGAGTGACCATATGGCAAGGAGGGCATGGCTCCTGTAGCTTTAAATGGGTGCACAGGCAAGGGAATTCCGGCTTTGGTATGTGGGGAAAGCTGTCCCTGCCAAAAATTCCCTCACCTGCCCAGCTGCCTAGGGTACAAGAGCCTTGGCCTCCTTTGCAGCTGGTCACCCTACTCTAGCCTTAACCAACCTGGTGCCCTCTGGCTGATTTGGTCTGACCCAAAGCAACTGGAGGGCACCAGGTGGGCAAAAGCTGCCCTGAGGAGTTTCCCCGCCTCACGCAATGACCCAGCCATGCCCATTTTCAACACAGTGCTTCCTATGAGGTATATGCTAGGCCCGGCTGGTTTGGGGGCCGAGTGCAGCACGATATGCTTCTGCCCAGGAGAACAGAGCGTCACCTGAGGCTGTAAACGTCAGCCACCTCTGCTGCTCATCACTGAGCACCTCAAGTCATTAGTGGCATGGTGGTACAAAAGTGTTATACCACAGGTGGCGGGGAAGAGCCTCACAGAGCCAAGCAAATGCCACAACAGGGGAACATCAGCATGGAAGCAGGCAAATGTCACTCCTCACCTAAGCCTGAGGAAGGCTGTCCACAACTGGGGCCTGATTTATGAGCCGTGATATATTTTGTCTTGCGGAGCAGGGCCACAGACATGCCAAATAGGCACAGAATGTGGTACTGAGTGCAGAAATCGGTTTCCACACCCGAACACACACACTTTCTCGTGTGTGTGTGTGTGGTTTTTTTTAAAGGAAATAGTTTCTAGTCATTATGGGGGCAAAAATAAGACAGTGCTGTCGTGTGTGTATGTGTGTGTGTGTGCTTTGCAGATATTAGCCTGGACAGGCCTTTAAGAACCCACTGTATAGGTCCCATTTTGCTTTATTGTTGGAGGGGATGGGCTGGAAAAGGAAGAGCATTTGGGAAAGAAATAAAACATTGTTCCCTCAGGAGACTTCCGTTCACAAATACCGTATTTTTCGGACTATTGGACGCACCGGTCCATAGGACGCACCTAGATTTGGGGGGGGGGGGAAATAAAGGCAAAAAAAATTTATTCCCCCCCCCGCCAGGCGCGGGGCTGGGGCGGGGAAGCCCGAGCTTCCCCCTCCCCCAGAACGGGACCCAGAGCCATGCCGAAGCTGCGCGCAGCTTTGGCATCGCTCTGGGAGCTTGCGGGGCTGGGGGAGGAGGAAGCCTTCCGCCAGCCTCCAAACCATGTCGGGAGACAGCGGGATGGCGCGCTGCGCCTCTCCCGCTGTCCCCCGAGTTTGCGGGGCTGGGCCAGCCTTCTAACCAAGTCGGGGACAGCGGGAAGGGCGCGCTGCGCCCCTGCCGCTGTCTCCCGAGTTTGCGGGGCTGGCGACGGGGAGGAGCAGGCTTCTCCCCCCGCCAGCCTTCTAGACAAGTCGGGGGACAGCGGCAAAGGCGCGCTGCGCCTCTCCCGCTGTCCCCCGAGTTTGCGGGGCTGGCGACGGGGAGGAGCAGGCTTCTCCCCCCGCCAGCCTTCTAGACAAGTCGGGGGACAGCGGCAAAGGCGCGCTGCGCCTCTCCCGCTGTCCCCCGAGTTTGCGGGGCTGGCGACGGGGAGGAGCAGGCTTCTCCCCCCGCCAGCCTTCTAGACAAGTCGGGGGACAGCGGCAAAGGCGCGCTGCGCCTCTCCCGCTGTCCCCCGAGTTTGCGGGGCTGGCGACGGGGAGGAGCAGGCTTCTCCCCCCGCCAGCCTTCTAGACAAGTCGGGGGACAGCGGCAAAGGCGCGCTGCGCCTCTCCCCCTGTCCCCCGAGTTTGCGGGGCTGGCGACGGGGAGGAGCAGGCTTCTCCCCCCGCCAGCCTTCTAGCCAAGTCGGGGGTCAGCGGGAAAGGCGCGCTGCGCCTCTCCCGCTGTCCCCCCGAGCTTGTGGGGCTGGCGGTGGGGCTCTCCTGAAGCCTGGAGGTTGTGGGGCTGGTGGGGGGGAGAAGCAGGCTTGCTTCTCCCGCCCCCAGCCTCCAGTTCAGGTCGGGGAATAGCGGGATGGCGGAGCGCTGCCATCCCGCTATTCCACGACCTGATCTGGAGGTTGTGGGGCTGGGGGGGGGAGAAGCAGGCTTGCTTCTCCCGCCCCCAGCCTCCAGTTCAGGTCGGGGAATAGCGGGATGGCGGAGCGCTGCCATCCCGCTATTCCACGACCTGATCTGGAGGTTGTGGGGCTGGGGGGGGGAGAAGCAGGCTTGCTTCTCCCACCCCCAGCCTCCAGATCAGGTCGGGGAATAGCGGGATGGCGGAGCGCTGCCATCCCGCTATTTCCCGACCTGATCTGGAGGTTGTGGGGCTGGGGGGGGGGAGAAGCAGGCTTGCTTCTCCCACCCCCAGCCTCCAGATCAGGTCGGGGAATAGCCGGATGGCGGCGCTTCGCCATCCCCCTATCCCCCGAGCTTGTGGGGCTGGGGGGGGAGAAGCAGGCTTGCTTCTCCCCCCGCCAGCCTCCAGATCAGGTCGGGGAATAGCGGGGTGGCGGCTCTGCGCCTCCCCGCTGTCCCCAGCTTTTGGGTGCAGGCTGCTGCCCGCAAGCCTTGCGAGCCCGCGGGACATCCCGCCGGGCTTGCAAGACTTGGGATAGCTTCCTGAAGTCTGGAGAGCGAGAGGGGTTGGTGCGCACGGACCCCTCTCGCTCTCCAGGCTTCAGCAAAAGCCTGCATTCGCACCATAGGACGCACACACATTTCCCCTTCATTTTTGGAGGGGAAAAAATGCGTCCTATAGTGCGAAAAATACGGTACATCACGGTATAGGTAAATAAAAAGGAGGGGGCGAGAGGGAGCATTATAGAGGGCCAGAGATACAGTGTAGGGTGAGGCCCTTCACTCTGAGGGCACAAGCAGTGCCTAAAACACCTTCTTCTCTTTGCCCACACAAAGCCACAACAGTCACTGGTGGGGGGGGGGGGGATGAGCACAGCAAAGGAAGTGGACGTTCCCCTGCCTCAGGGTGGGCTGCTTACCGGTGATAATATCCTCAATGGTCCCATCTTTGCCTTCATAAACAGGCCGGTGGTCCTTGGCCTGGCGCCGCCTCAGCTCCGCAATCAACTCTTGCTGCTGCCACTTGTTGCGCTGCAAAGGCAACTGCGGACAGGTCAGGAATTAGAAGGAAAAACAGCCCCAGCTCAGCCGCCACACTGTGTCCCGCTGTCCGTGAACCTGACTGACGCTTCTACCTGACTGACAGGTGCAGCCACTTTGAAAATGTGTGGATGTGTGTGCGCGTGCGCCTCTCTCTCTTTCAGGGATTAAAAGGGGCCCAGAGACACAGCAAGGGCCATGCGTGTACTTTCTCGTGAGACGTTTCACTAGTAAGGAAAGGCTTCCGTCTGCTGCTGGAGCCAGCAGGCCGAGTCTCTGTGCTGTGAGCAGACTGGCACACAGGAGAGCAGGCCAGCTTGAAAAAGAAAATGTTCCTCGTGGTTTCTCTCCCAGTATCACACTACGGGAAAGTGAGCACCAATTTAATGAGGAGCAGGCTTCACAAAGCCCAGAAGGAGAGTCCTTCTCAGTAATGCCGTGTGAACTGCACTAGCCGGTGTTATTCATATTTATCGACAAAGCACCAAATCAGAACTTGGGAAGGTGCCTTTCGCCAAGTCAGGCCGTTGTTCCATCTCACTCAGTATTACTTACACTGACTGGCAACAGCAGCTTTCTGGGGGGCGGTTTCTGGCCCTACCTGAACACTGTGCCAGGTGCAATTTCCATTCTCTCTTGGGACATAACCTGGGAGGGGGTGGGACTGCATCAATAAGAGCTGCTCTTCTAAAAATCAGCCTTTGGAGCAGCAGGAGATATGGAGGACTGAAAGGCATCACACGCAAGTTGACAAGAAGCTAATAACAGTATGTCCGTCCCTGCCATGCTGCAATGGCAGGAGGGGCTTCCTTTGACCCGCCCTCCCTCCCTCCCTTTCCAGAACGCATCCCTTCCAGTCTCCTGGCTCCCTCCGGTGCCCTGCACCATCACCCCCTACCTTCTCCAGCCTCTTGGCTTCTTGGGCCAGCGCCTGCTCTCTTTGGGCCTGTTCCTGCTTCTTACGCATCTCGTTGTCTTGCTCTGCATCCTGGAAGATGGAAGCAGGGAGAAAAGTTAGAAGACAGTCCAACCAGTAGCCAGGCAGCACCTAGCTGGGGATATATAGAGATGGAGTTCCACTGAGTCAGGCCGTTGGCCAACAGCCTGCTGGGTGAGATTTGCCTGGCACTTTGCAGGCACAATCACTTGGATCTGTGCTGAGCTGGATGCCACCATTCGAGTCAATATCAATTCCACAAATAAATAAATGGGCCCATCTAGTCCAATATATCTTCCATTTGGCAAGACACAATTAAAGGTAAAGGGACCCCTAACAGTTAAGTCCAGTCGCAAATGACTCTGGGGTTGTGGCGCTCATCTCGCTTTACAGGCCGAGGGAGCTGGCGTTTGTCCGCTCCGCAGACAGTTTTGCCGGGTCATGTGGCCAGCATGACTAAGCTGCTTCTGGCGCAACAGAACACTGACATCAGAGCAGCGCATTGGGAAACGCCGTTTACCTTCCCGCTGGAGTGGTACCTATTAATCTACTTGCACTTTTTGGCGTGCTTTCGAACTGCTAGGTTGGCAGGAGCAGGGACCGAGCAACGGGAGCTCACCCCGTCGCGGGGATTCGAACTGCCGACCTTCTGATCAGCAAGTCCTAGGCTCTGTGCTTTAACCCACAGCACCACCTGCATCCCATGTAAGACACAATTACTGCCTTGCAAATTTTCTGCAGGCTAAGCCGCAGAAAATAAGTCATGCCATTTCACGTGTGCTATGAAGCTCTAGTTTATTTACTTATATTTATTTGAATGGTTGTAAGTTAAACTGTTTTTAATATTGTGTTTTAATGCTATAGCCCACCCTGGGACCTTAGATAGATAAGATATTCTTATTACCTGCCCTTCATCCTATCTACTGTCTACTCTGGCTGGCAGCAGCACTCCAGACCAGGCTCTCGGGCAGAGATTTCTTTCCATCCACCTGCTACCTGATGCTTTTAAACAGGAGGTGCCTGGGACTGGCTTGCAGAGGTGTATGGGCCTTCCCTCTAAAATGACTACCGTTCCTGGCCACATGGTGGGGCAGTAGACAAGAGGTTTAGGAAATCCAAGCTCAGCTGCACAACCCGCTGCCTGGTGGGTTGCCTTGCGTGGGAATCACAGAGCTGGAAAGGGACTCGATGGACCGTGCCCCACCCACTGCCCTGAGACAGAACGTCCTATATATAAAGGACCCCGCCCCCTTAACAAAACTTGCTCCAAGGTTCCCTTAAAAACCTCAAAAGAATAGATACCACGCTGGACCCAGAAGTTCCTGATAACAAGTGGCCTAAATCTATCTCCCGATAACCAACAGCTGCACCTTTTTGTTCTATTCTCAAGCGGAAAACTGGTCCCTCTCTGGGTGACTAGGTCTGGCCCACCTGGGTAACCCTCTGCCTCTTAACACACCTCACAGGGTTGTTTTGAGTCCTACAGGCAGGAGAGGAAAGAAATCTAAATAAATGGGCAGAAATGGGAATGAATTTTGACAGGCTAGGGAGGGGATGCACACCTGGACATGGTGTTTTGCCAAGAGCCGTGTGTGGATTGAATCCGTAACCATGGGGATGAGCCAAGCACTGATTCCCCACAATTCACAGCTCTATCTGGGATGCTAAAACCACAAACCAAAGTTTTCCTAGTCCAAAGAACCAGGTGCTCCCAGAGAGCCAATCTTCGGCCACTGCTTGCCACACGAGTCCAGGATAGTCCGACACTCCCTCAGTCTGAGCATCTCATCACTGAAGGAAGCCATCCCTTTGCACCACTGGAATGTTTCCCTGCCTGCTCCCCACTCCTCCCAAATGCTGCACCTGGCCAGCACTTGAACCCAGGACACAACAGCCTTCTCCAACAATGGGAACAGAGTGATGGCAGCAGAAAGGTGTGGCTGACGCATGTGATGGAGGTTCAAGGAAGTGGATTGGCTTTGCTCAAGGGACCAAACCTTGGAGAGGGGCTTTGGAGGACTGGGATGTTAGCGAAGAGCAGATGGGCTATGGAGCATGTTGAAGTCCTCGCTGGTGTGGAAGAGAAATGAAGGAGCATGCCGGGAGGGCGCTCTAAATCTCTTGCCCACTGGACACACCTAATCACAGGAAGACAGGTAGGGCTACTTCCTGCTGGGAACAGTAACAGGCAGCACTTGGGGGGGGACTGGCAAGTGGGCTCCAACTTCTACACCAGGGAAAGGCGTGAACTTGTGTGGCTTCTAAGGCGACCTGGGTTCTCTAACACACATACCTTGTAGGATCGGATGAAGCGCGCAAAGACCGGGAAGAAAACGGATGGCGGTGTCGTCTTGGGGCTCTCGCCGAAATAGCGCACAACCGTGTTGTAGGCCTCCTGCCAACAAGAAAGCCGTATGAACGGAGGCTGACAATGGCCTCGGCCTTACACTCAGTTGTACCATGGGAGGAAGATGCTGGCACAACAAGTTTGGGGTCAGGATGAAAATCTATGCACAAAGAGACCTTTTGACACATGGCCTGCATGTACAGACCTGCTGGGTGTGATCCACTTTGCACATCAGACTGGCATATTCACATGATGAAACTGATTCTTTAAAAGGCACACAAATCTGATGTTCAGAGCGCATACAAACTCTGCTGTAGGGAATTCCGCGGGGATTTTGTTTGGTCCACATTTTGTTTAAACAAACCAACTTCACTGTGGCTCAAAAAAGTGCCAAAATGTGTATTAAAATGTAAAAAATTCACATTTTAGTGTGAAATTGTGTAGAAAATGTGTACTCTTAGGGTGAAAAAATATGCTAAAAACATAATGCAAACCTTTGTGTTTTTCTGTAAAATTGCTGATTGAACAGGGCTGGAAACCGACTGGTAATGGGATGGTACACCAGAGCGTGTTGAATTTTTCAACTTCCAAAAATGAGGGGAGCTAAAAAGTTCTGACATGACTTGGGAATTCAAAGGATATTTTGGTTAAATTAATAAAATGTAGTTTTGCTTGGTAAGTAAAATGTGCATAAAACTGCATAGAAATCTTTAAAAATGATTGCCAAGTATTTGCAATTATATTATATATTAATATTTATTATTATTGAGCATTCCCTGACTTATTCAGATGGCAACATTAAAAATTATTTGGTTTTCCGAAAGCAGCTTATGCGCTTCTTCATCAAACCAAGCTACATGTTGTCCAACCACAAAAATAACAGCAGATTTGAATTGCTCACAGCCAAAAGCATACTTTTAATACCCCTCAGTGAAGAAATTTGCAAAAATTAAGTTCCATCTCGTAAAACGATACGTCCTATATGATGCACTCATGCCTACTCTGAAGGGAGTTTAGCATGTAACTAACAAAATAGGAGCTGCTTACATAACACACAAGCACAAATGCACCCTGGATCCCATTGCAAAAATCTGACACCAAGCAAGCACACATTAGTCAAATTTGGCACAAGTCCTACATCTGCAAATGTCCACAGCCAGGCAGGTGGCAGGATTTCCATACATGAATCTGGCATGCAGCTAGACAGACACAGTGTTGAACTATATGCCAGACCGGTGCTTTTTAACATGCCACACAGCGCATACAAGGATTTGCGCTCCAAATCCTGCACACATTTTAAGGAGCCTTCTCTGCTCACCCCCGAGCTGTGTGCCCGCTCCTTCTCCACTCACCTCCGCAGTCTTAGCGTCTTTCTGTAGCCGGTCCAGCTTGCCCTCATTGGCGTTCAGGAAGCTGCGCAGGATGCTATGGTCACGCAAGCTGCACTCCCGCCGGATCAGCTCCATCCCACGCCCCAGCTCCTTCACATCCAGCAGCACGTTCTCCAGGGATACTGTGGTGGGACAGAAACCACTGGGTCAGCCCGGGAACCAGCTCAGATTGGGGAGTGTCAGCCCAGTTTCACAGCTCGCAAAAGGCTAGAAGAGATGCACAGGCCTCAAGAGGGAGGCAGGCAGACTCTAAGGTCAGGGATGGGGGACCTGTGGCCCCCCGGATGTTGATGGACCACAACTTCCTCATCCCTGACCTGTGGCGAAGCTGGGGAACTGCAAAACAGACCTGCTGTAAGCATCAATCAGGGCTTATCCACACTTAACTTTTGCCTTGTTCTTTCCAGGCACTGGTCCCCACTTTAAAGCTCTGTGTCCACCTCAGAGCTTTCTCCGTGATAACCCGCTCTTTAAACCAGGCATAGGCAAACTTGGCCCTCCAGATGTTTTGGGACTACAACTCCCATCATCCCTAGTTAACCGGACCAGTGGTCAGGGATGATGGGAATTGTAGTCTCAAAACATCTGGAGGGCCGAGTTTGCCCATGCCTGCTTTAAACAAATGACAATTTGGGCTTTCTGATTGAGCTTTGAAGACCGGGTTTTCATGGGGAAGGCTCTGGGGCAAAAAAATAGGGTGCTCAGCTTTAAAGTGCAGCCAGTGCCAGGAAAGTTATGTGTGGATAAGCACTCAATGTACATGTACTGTAAACATCTGACTTTCATGATGTCTGAAAGCGAGGGGACACCTCTGTGAGGTCTTGGCCCTGCCCCTTGAACAGGCCGGTGGTTGGAAGGGTCCCTACCTGCAGCTGCTTTCTCCACAAAGTGCAGTTCCTGCCAGAAGGTGCTCAGCTCAGGGTATTTCTCCTTCACCATCATGGCAATGAAGTGCAAGAGGGTTAGCTTCCGGTCCGTCGACTTGGTGTCCAACAGCTTTTGGGGCAGAGGTGGGGAAGAACAGAATGTCAAGGCACTGCTACAGCCATCTGCACAAGCATGCGGGCTGGGGGCATATGGGCGCATGGAAGCAGATAATCAAATCTGCACAGTGTGCATTAACTGAAACACGGGAGGTGCTCACAAGGGGAGAGCAAATGCGTGGACACATGCAATCAAGCAAGAAATCAGGCACACAGGTTTGTATGCAGGGCTGAGCAATTCTGCAAATTGGCGTCCGTGCATGGTTTGCTCCATGCATGTAACCGTGTGTCTGAGCAGAAGCACATAAACTCTGTGAAAGTTGCCGTGCTGTAGGGCAAGATATGAATTTAAAAATATGAGTTTGGGAATCTTGCAAGGTGGCCCAAACAAACAGCTGGCAACAGCTGTCGCCTGAACGGAATGGCCATGTGGTGTAGCATGCGGGAAGGGACACCATCTTCCTCCTAGGCACATTATCTGAGCACAGGGGTATGGATGGATACCTTTGCATAAGCTTATGTGCCCCCTTTAGCCCCCTCCTTACCAGATCAAGACTCTGCAGCTTAAAACCATAAACCGAACCACGTTTGCTGCTGTTCATGTAGTTGCCGAGGGCGAGGATGATCTGGGAGGGAGAAAACAGGTGTGTCACATAGATGCTTGACATGTCTGATATTTAAGTCATACAAGGGAGTCCCCAGCCAAAATATCCCGGGCCGCCTGTGCTTAATTTCACTGCTTTCATGGAGGCTATGACATTTAACCTGGAAGCCATCAGCACCTAACTAGTGTAGGAAAATGCACTATGCTCAGAGGCACTATTTGAACCCTTACTTTGCCTCCTGGCAATTTACAGGATCAGAGTTGAAAGGAAGCTCAAATAGCCCAACACGTTTTTATGCAGGAAATCCTCTGCCACAGCATCATCTCTGATACAGCTGCCCTCCAGCCTCAAATACTCTGCAAGCTAAACAGAAATAGTTGCCCCCCATCACACATTTGCTGTTTCTCTTGTAAGTACTTCCATATCAGCAGGACCCACCTCCAACATGCGCTTGAGCTTCTGTGAAGACTTGACAGATGCAGAGGCAGCAATGATTGCACTCAGTTGCTGTAGGAGGGCAAAAATAAAAAAGGATTATTATTGGTTTTGCTGCACCTCAACACTTTGTCAATGTAAAATCATGGAATTGTAGGGTTGGGATCGAAAGGGTCCACTGTCTCCTGCAACAGAAGTTGAATAGAAGTTCCTTTCACACAGGGCGCTCTCAGACGGTTGCTGTTTTGAGGTGGGATGCAATCATATACTGTCAAATTCATCTTGGCAATGAACATGCAATGGGAAGTCATGCTCAACAAACCTCCTTCCTCATCTAAATTTGACCTTTTTGTGATAAGGGAAAGGGAAAATGCACTGGGAAGTGTTGGGGAACACTTACTTGACGCAACGTCATCTAACCTCTCTGCAAACCAACTCAGAATGAATGCTCATTTGATAGCCAACTTCATCTAATTTCCCCTCAAACTGCACAAACAAGTCAGGGATCAATGCTCAATAGACAGACTGCCTGGAAATAACATCAGTCTGGAAATCTTGATAAACTGTCCTCCCTGACTTTCACAGGTTTACTGTGCTTTTGCAAGCAGAGCCCGTGCATGTACTACTTGTATGCACATGGGTTCTGTTTGCAAATAAAGACTTGGGAGTTGGGTGCAAAAACATGGTCCTCTCTCTCTATGTTCACTGTATGCTCTACTTGACTGGCTGGAAAGGACTGAAGGAAATGAAAAACGGTTCTGCTGCCAAGCCTGCAATCAAGTAATTATTATAGGCTAATGAAAAACCTGAAAGAAAGACAGACCAAGGATAAATAGTGTTTTGTTGTATTATATCACTATCAACATGGCATTTCTTGTTAGTTGTCTTGGGTGCTTTAGTCAGAAAAGTGGGGCGTAAAACCAAGTAAGAAGCAAAAGAAGGGAAAGCGAAAAACTGTGAGCGTAGAAACATAAGAAGAGCCCAGCAGGATCAGATCAAAGAGCCCAGCAGTCTGTTCTTACAGGGGTCAACCAGATGTCTCTTGATCATATGCAGAACCTATGAATACCACATGAGAGCTTGTGCCAGCATGGAGAGGATAGGGCTTAGTATGTATGAATCAAGACAAGAGAAGGTGTCACAAACCACAATGGTGGCAGGTAACAAAAATGGGTCAAGAGCGTCCAGTGAGGCTTGTGAGCCAGACCATCTAGCTCAGCCATGACTATCCCTACTAGCAACAGATCTCCATGGTTATTTCCCAACGCTTATCAAAATTGAGGATAGTGGGAGCTGAATCGGAGACCTGGCACATGCAAAACAAGTGACCTACTAAAGAACTACCTGTGCCTCCCTGTCCCTTGACGTTGCTGGGCAGCACCACAAGCAGAGCCAGGCTGTTTGGCAAACGCCCTTTGCTGCAGTGGCACAGCCAGGTGGCAAAGAATGTGAAATATGTCAATTACCCTCCGAGGAGACTGCTAGGTAATCTGAAGGCTATGCAATGATGCAATGGATGTTTGCACTTGCTAGCAAAATATTCACCGCCTGATTTCAAAGAATGCGTAGGTTTAATTGTTTTCAAGGGCAACAGCCGTGTGTGTGTGTGTGTGTGTTTAATAAAGCTTTTGATCACCAATATATGTCTATCACAATAGGGCACATCTAGCCTCTTGCAGAAACTTAAAGCAGGAAGATCAGCCCTGAACTCCTACAGTCCAAACCTCTGTATGTCCCACCAGAATCAATGTGGCTTTCTCCCAAGTAAGTATGCTTGGGACTGAAAACTTTCCAGCTGCCTAATCAGCTAGAACTACTCTCTTGGTTTCTCCCTTTTTAGATATATGGAAAGGTAAAAGGGCACAGAGGTGACCAGACCTGGACAGGGAACTTCATTCCCAGACTCCCCTCCTCTAGCTTCATAAATAAACCCTTCCTTTCCAAGAGCCAAGGACAGAGCCCAAAGAGTTTGGGCTCGCACAGACAGAGGGGAGGCAAGTCTCGTACCGGCATGAGCATCTGGATGTTCTCACTGAAGTTGCCCAGGAAGGCCATGATGGCCATGCGCTGCGTCAGGCGCTCCACCTTGCTGAAGTGCAGCATAAAGCGGTCCTCGTCCGACAGCTCCTCCAGCGGCTTCCGCTCCTTCTCATACTGGCGCAGGAGCTTGACCTCGTTCTCCGTCGGCAGGAAGCGCATGAGGCACTCCACAAAGTCCACCGGAAGCGTCTTCAGGTCAAACCTGGAAGAGCAGCAGCAGCAAAAATGGCCCTGTGTCAGAAGGCAGGCTGCTAAAGGAACTGGGCTGGGAGTGGGGAAGCCCAACGGAGCCCGTGGGGTGACGTGGCAAGAGTGTCAGGCTGGGGAACTGGAAAGCCAGGGTTAAACTCTTCACTTGGCTATGAAATTCACTGGGTGAACTTTCTTGAGGTGCGCTCTCTCTCTCTCTCTGCCTAACCTACCTCATAGGGTTGTTGCAGAATAAAATACGCCAAGGGACAGACACTCCTTAGAGAAAAGGTGGAATATAAACATAATAAATAAATGCATTTCAGGGGTGCTGTGGAAGGAAAAACTACACACACACACAGATACCCACGTGTGAATGGCTTTGCAGATCTCCTCCGTGCTCCTCCCTGCTTTGCGCAAGGTGATGGCAAGGTTCTTGGCCCGGTTGGCTTCCAGCAGGGTGACCTTGTTGGCTGCCTTATGCGATGCCTTGTTCTTAGAGCAGAGGAGGTCAATGGCCGGGCCTTGGGCTTTGGTCTTAAAGAGCTCCTCAAACTTGTCTAGATCAAGGTCCTGGAAGAGGAAAGAGGATTCAAAGAGTTACCCATCCTGCCGGTAGGTAATTATGATACTAATGATACTAATAATAATGACGACAACAATGACATACATTCTGATTTCAATAATTTCATAATTTGCCTTTTCACTACTGGAGGAATTTCAAAGCTGCTAACAGCATGTTATCAGATGCTTCAGTTTTGGGAGCTAGGGAGGGAACAGTGAATAGAGATCTGAACTTGGATTGGGGAGAAGTAGGTTCAAATTCCTATTTAAGGATTGTTGTGAGTATAAAATGGCGGGGAGCCCAGTGAGCGTGTTGGAGGAACGGTGGGATACGTATGTGAAGAATCAGTACAAAGCAAAATAGAAGCCTGAAGTTGAAGAATTGGCTGGCTGGTTCCAATAATACATGAAATTCTCACTCTCCTTCTCCCTCACAGAGAGAGTGAGCAATTTGGTCTTTATTGCTTCCTTGGGGTTACCAGTCCCAAGAGGCAGAACTCCCCTATCAAAGGTCCCTTCCTTTGCTGCTCTCTTCTTTTCTGCCAATAGCACACTACACCTCCTCTCTCTCTGACATCATGTGTAGCTTCCCCCCATTCATCAGTTTCCCTGGCTCCTCCTTTCTTCACCTCCACTCATTCCCTCCTTCCCTCCCCCATTGTTCTCATAGACCCCACAGCACTGCACTCTTCTCCCTTATAGTACATGGGCCCTGCTGATCTCTATCACTCCTTAGAGCCCCTTCCCTTACTTACTTACTTCACTCCCTCACTCCTCTCCTCCTTTCCTGAAGCCTCATTCTCCACCAACCATTTTTTCACACTCATTATTCTTACACTGTGCATAGTCTATTCTATATTCTTCTTTCAAACTCCTTTCTTCTGGGCACACTCTCCCTTAGCTCCCCTCTTCTCAATTCTTGTGTGAGGCTCTGACGCCAGCCAGAGTGACAACTTTCCCTTCCCTCAAAGAGGCTGCACTACGAACTGTTCAGTTTCCCTCAGCGACTGAATGTTCTGTGCTGCTGCACTTGTACAGTAGATACAAATACAACGGATTAAAGGTTTGAAAGAATGGCGCACACCATTCAGACTGACTTCCCCCTTTCCCTCACCTCCAAGATCTTTTCATCATCCAGCTCACTGAAGACTGTGCCGCTGATCTGGTTGGGCTTCAAGGCCGTCCAGTTAAAGACCGGCAAGCGGAATTTCGTCTTGATGGGTTTCTTAATCCGGATTGCTTGGGGGCACAGAGGAGAGAGAAAAGTATTATTTGTCCTCACAGGTGCGGAAGAGGTCAAGGCTCAGCTCAGCTTGGTCCCAATGGGCACTGGGAGGAAGAGAATTGGGTTGGTTCCCCTGGCAAGTTTCTGTTCCCAGTTTTGGTTCACCTTCACAGACTTCTCTCCCAGGAAGAAGAATTCTGTACCCAGAACCATGTTCTGTGCTTTTACTCGTGAAATTACAGTGGTACCTCTGGATGCGAACGGGATCCGTTCTGGAGCCCCGTTCGCATCCAGAAGCGAACACAACCCGCGTCCGCGGGTCGCTGCTTCTGCGCATGCACGTGATGTCATTTTGACCATCTGCGCATGCACGAGTGGCGAAACCCGGAAGTAACACGCTCCGTTACTTCTGGGTCACCACAGCATGCAACCTGAAAATACTTATTCTGAAGCTACTTCAACCCAAGGTATGACTGTACAGCACACATAGAGCAAGCACCCAGGGCCTTTCATTCCTGTCCCTCTTTCTGTCTTGCAGGTGGATGGGTGGGAAGAGGCGAAACGTACCTGATAAGCCCATAGTGAGAATCACAGAGGGAGACGTCCCTGGAAGTGGTGGAGCTGGCGGACACTTATCTGTGAGAGAACAGGGGTGGAAAAATATATGTAGCAACAGTCGCCCTCTGTGCAACCGTGTGTGAGAAGATGGCAGCTTTCTTTCCTTTGGACTTACCCGGTAGCGGAGGAGGGGGTGGGGGGAGAGGCGGAGGAGGGGGCGGGGGTGGAGGGGCAGCCTCCATGGGAGGCAGGACCGGGAGGCGGAGGTCATCCTCGGGGATGTCGCTGAAGTTGACCTCCGCCCCTGGAGGTGGCGGCAGCGGCAGGTGGTCTCCCCCTGTTGGGCGAGAGGTATAGTGGCGTCGGAAAGCCTCCTCCTTCTCCTTGATTATTCTGCGCAGGGTGTGGACCTGGTTGCTGGCACTTTCGTAGGTTTCCTGCCCCAGAAGAGACACATTGATTAGGCCTCCTCTTCCCAGTCGCTGGAGGCCGTTCACAAGGCTAGATACCGCTGGGTCTCAAAGGACCAAGGGACACATTATACGTTCAGCAGAATTAAGGGGCAGCGCTTATCCCCAGCTGCAGCACCTCTGGGAGCTTTGTGTGTGTACATATTGACACAAATTTACATTCTCTTCCACAGGGATAAATAACAGACATGTAGAAGTTGTGGGATGTAACATAAGCAGTCAAGTACAACACTTCCTGTTTGCCCAGAGTGGACACGCAGGGGGGTGTTACTCCAGCCAGGAGGACTTCCTGTCACACCTGGTCTGGAGCTTCTTCCCCCTGCGTGTGACCAGGTAGGTGGGCGTGACCCTGGGAGACCCCATAAAAGGGGCGGATCACGCAGCCACCTTCCTCTTGATGCCATGCTCTTCTGCTCTTCTTCTCTTGGACTGCACTGCTAGGTCTGCCAGCAGCACATGGGCCCATCCTTACAAGGATGTAAGCCACACTGTATCTGTAACTACAAGCTAAGGCCTGCCAACTGTGAACTGAATGTGTGTAAACTTCTTATTACTTTTAAAAGAAGCTTCTTGTGTCTTTATTCTTTTTAGGAGGCATAAAAGGGGACTTACCAGGAACCCAACCCAATCTGAACGAAGCCAGATTGGATTGCTTAAGTAAAGAGATTCAAACAAATCTACCAACTAGCTTCCTGCTATATACTGGAGAATGCACTCTGCTGCTGACTCACAGGTGTGAGTTAGGAAGGATGCTATTAAATCAATATATCCTCTCCTAGTATCTACAACATTCCCACAGAAGTTACATGGGTTTTGTCTCTTTTTCACCACTGTTGATTTTAATAATCTTTTGAATGTTTTTAAATACAGTATCTGTTTTTAACTGTTTCCCCACCCCTCAATGGATAATTTTAATGTTTTATTTATTTTGCAAACTGCTTAGAGGTTTTCTTACAATCAAGTGGGATCTAAATTTTGTTTAAGATAAATAAATGGGACCAAAAAGGCTTGGCATGGAAATGGGGTCTAGACTAGCCTGACATATTTGTTTCCTATGAGCATGTCATGTTTCCTCCTGGGGGCAGGGTGAGCAGGAAGAAGGGAGGGAGGGGAGAAGATGCAAATATGCTGCCCTCCACCTGCAGCTCAAGATGATCCAATAAAAAACTTTGCTTCTTAGTTCTGCTGATTGCACCAACTGGTCAGGGAACTGGGTCAATGCCAGCACTGCCCTGGACCCCTTAACAGAACAGTTCGGATTTATCTGCAGGAGAAGACCCATATCCTCACACAAGGGAGGAATGGGGCCAAACCATGGACAGTCCGTAGAAACCCAGCCAGCCCCAAGCAAGGGAACAGGGACCATTGGCCAGCTGTCCTGTCACATTGTCACTCTGACCTGTGAACTAGAGTCCTATTAAAAACCCACATAAGATAGACTTAGGATTGTTAAGAAAAATGCCCAGGTCCCAAACCAACAAGCATGCAAGAAAGAGCCTGGAAGGTAATGGCTCAAGAAGGTGAGAATTGTGCCTCATCTCTACAGTGGAAAGACCCAAGGATGAACCCTGATGGGCATGTTCTTGTAAATCAGGAGTCTGTCAAAGCTTCATTCTTCAGGGAACCTTTTCCACACAGACCTGCCAGGCAGGGAACGTGGCATGTCCGCTTGAGAAATCCTGTTTAAGGGGAGCATGGCCTGCGCCCACTAGGCCTCACCGTCATCCTGAATATCGTGTCTGAATAGAAAGTGTTCCCTGGCATACAGCAGTGCTCCCCCTGTAGGTAGGATGACTGGGAATGGTGAGCCAACTACCAAGGAAGCCTGTCCATTGTTACAGATCTTTTCCCTGAGAAGCGTCTGAGGAAGCATCCCAGGGAGGTTAGAAAAACCAATAACTTAACCCAGACGCTGGACGGACCCCCATCTTCTTCGGAAAGCCTCCACATTGCTTTTTCCTGGCCACATACCTTGACAATCTCCAACTCCTTCTCCCGCTGTAGCAGCTGTTTCTCCAGCTCTGCCACCCGCATTATGTTTTCATTCTCCAGATCCAGAAGCTTTTCTGTCAACTGAGTGGAAGAAAATAGGGATCACCAACTTTCCTTTGGTCAAAAAAGACGGTTCTGTTCTCATTATTCTGCTCAGATAACCATATGTCCAAAATGTCACGTGTGGAGCAGACTCGTGAGGCTCTTGCTTTTAAACAAGTTGCTGGCCCTCATGGTTATAACAATGTTTTTACAAATGTGCAGGCAGTTAAGCCTGACTGCACCTTCCCTTCCCAATGCCACACTAGGGGATCTTCTTCAACACAATGTACAATTAGCCTATTGCCCCGAGATGGTGGTGATGGTTGCTGGCTTATGGAGCTTCTAAAAGGATATTAGACAAATGAATGGAAGATACACTCATTTTCCTCTCTTTTTTTTGTATTTTAACTTGTATATTTTAAAGTACCGTATTTTTCGCACCATAGGACGCACTTTTTCCCCTTCAAAAATGAAGGGGGAATGTGTGTGCGTCCTATGGAGCGAAGACAGCATAGCCCCGCGACCCTCTGCCGGCTGGAGAGGTGACGTGTGGCTATGGCAGGAGCCTCTATAGCCGAGCGCCACCTCTCCAGCTGGGAGAGCGCGCTCGGGGCTAAAGAAGCCCCGCTTACCCTCTCCCAGCTGGAGAGGTGACACGCAGCAATTGCAGCAGCCTCTTTAGCCGCGCGCCATCTCTCCAGCTGGGAGAGCGCGCACGGGGCTAAAGAAGTCCCCCGCGACCCTCTCCCGGCTGGAGAGGTGACATGCGGCTATGGCAGGAGCCTCTATAGCCGCACGCCTTTCCGCTGCTCCCCGACCTGCTCTTTGGGGCTGGTGGTGGGCTTCCCCCCGCCAGCCCCAAAGAGCAGGTCGAAAGGAACCCGAAGCCTGGAGAGCGAGAGGGGTCGGTGCGCACCGACCCCTCTCGCTCTCCAGGCTTCCAAGGTAGCCACCTGAAGGTGTCTGAACGCACCTTAAACGGCACCTTGCTTTAGAGGGGGAAAACAAGAGGGGGGAAATTCTTCCCCTCTCCGCGCTGCGCCTCCTGCCACTTTGCTGAAGGGGCGCTGGGCAGAGAGGGATAGAATTTTTTTTTCTTGTTCTCCCCCCTCTAAAACAAGGTGCGTCCTATTGTCCGGTGCGTCCTATGGTGTGAAAAATACGGTAGGTTTGTATTTTTTTCTTGATTTTCTTGTTTTATCTTTTTGCAAAGCTCGTTGAGGGTTGGTGTTGTTGTTTTTACAACCAAGCTGTGTATAAATTTTATGAAATAAATTTGGCCATAAAAGCTAAATGGAACATCCATGTTTGGAAGAAGTATATTACTGAGTACCAAACGTTGGAGGGGTAAACCATGGTGGAGAGCAGTTGCCTTCAAGCCCTGCTTTGGGGCTTCCCAGAGGCATCTGATTAGTCACTGTTGGAAAAAGGGTTCTGGACTAGATAGAACCATCTATCAGGACTCTTCCCTAAATGGCCTTGGCCCTGTATACCTGAAGGAGTATCTCTACCCCCATCGTTCAGCCCGGACACTGAGGTCCAGCTCCGAGGGCCTTCTGGCGGTTCCCTCACTGTGGGAAGTGAAGTTACAGGGAACCAGGCAGAGGGCCTTCTCAGTAGTGGTGCCTTCCTTGTGGAACGCCCTCCAATCAGATGTCAAGGAGATGAGTAACTATATAACCTTTAGAAGACACCTGAAGGCAGCCCTGTATAGGGAAGTTTTTAATGTTTGATGTTTTATTATGTTTTTATATTTTGCTGGAAGCTGCCCAGAGTGGCTGGAGAAACCCAGTCAGATGGGTGGCATTTAATATTGTTGTTATTGTTAGTTCCTATGTTCTTCTGGTGAACTAAAGGGGGCTATCTGTACACCTACATGTGATAAATGTTCTTCCAACTCCTCCACTTTCTCCAACGCTACGTTCTTGGTCTCGGCATCCTCCAGCAGCCCTCCGACATCAAATACGTTGTCCAGGTAAGCCTGGATCTGCACCTGCAACTTTTCGCTTTCCGTGTGTCTCGACTTCTGTGGAAAGAAACGAAAATGCAACACAAGAGGAAGAAAACTGCATGAAGCCAGTGAGCAAGGGGAAATTATCTTAAAGGGAACAAGCTTCCAGGTTGCTGCGTGATGGCACTGAGTCTCTCCCAAAAGCTACAACAGAACAGTGAGGACCATCTCATGATACATTCCCACAGGATGTTTTCCACGCTCCTAGTTCATCTGATAGTACATAACTGGAAGCACTGGAGGCAGCCCCAATGATAAAGTGAGTCTGATGTCAACCCTGGTATGTCAAAGCTGCTATGTGACGAAATGCCAAGTTTAATTAGGCCTCCGGAGAGCACTTTGACTTATGGAATCCTGGAAACTGCAGCTGGGATTCTGCTGGAGATCCCTAGACCCCCTCCACAGAACTACAATTCCCAGAGATCCCTTGAAAGGAGGAACGACGAGTAAGTGAGATTAAGTTTGAGGGCCGCTTATGCCCTTGGAGGTGTCTGGAACCAGCACAAGTCCGACTTACTTCACAGCCATGCCTTGCCATCACTGGTCTCCTCAGAAGGGTGTTTCCATCCCTTCCTGCTAGATGGCTAGAACTCTTCACTGAATAGCTCTTCAGTTCCCAAGTTCTTTAATATGCCTCTGAAGAGGTCTGTCCTTTTGTACCACTACGCTTCTCTATTCTGCCGTTTCGTTCCTGTTATTGAACTGGTGCCTGTTTCCCTTGAACGAGCAATGACCTTGGTTCTGAGAACAAGACTTGGTCTCCTAATGTCTGTTTTGGTTTCGATTCAGCTGAAACCAAGGCTAGAAACTGACATCAAACCGGGATTTCCACCCAGGCCTTGCACCCAACTCCACTGTTCTGCATCCTGCCATTATCTTCAATAATCAGGAGAGGAATGGTACTACATATCCAAACCCGCCATCTGCCCAACTTCTTCCCCAACTGAAAATTATTTTGGCCTTTTAAAAAGATGTTCAGGTTTGTTGTCTATTTTCATGTGAGGGTGGCCAGTCTTTCTTTTCAATAACAAGGCATTTCTTTGATGCTGGGGCTTGAGAAGTTTAATTCTTTTGGTATCCTCCCCCTCCCCCCTGCCTTGCAAAGGATTTGCTTCCAGTTCCATCAGTCACTTGCTAAGGAGTGCTTTTGCTGGAATCGACGACTATTCCACAACAAAGTATATCACAGCCCTTAACTGGAAGGTTTAAACTAACAGTAGGGCCCTCTTTGCCTGATGAGATTGTTAAGTGCATTGGCTGCCATCACAGCAGACATAAACAGACCACCAGACTGCAAACAAGTATCTTGGCAACTCAAACGCGAAGGGAAAGGGAGGAGGAAGGCAAAAGTTAATGTTGGTTTTAGAGGAGCTGGAGACAACTTGAAAGAGGCATCACTCTCTTACTTTCTAGTCCCATCATTGTCTTTGGTCAAGTAGGTTCTGTAGGTTTTTGAAACAATTCAAGCCCCAAGGAACCTGTTTACCAGAGACAATGGTGAGACATGTACACATTACAAGCAGAAACCCATCCCTACCCTCCAAGCTGCCTCTCTGAAACGAGACCAGTCCATCTCCAACTGAAGTCATAGTGCTCAAAGATAGCACAAGGAACCAAATGTGTGTTGATTAAGGGAAACTCCCCTAAGCATGTTTGTGAAGAGGGAAGTTTCTGTGGTTTTTTAACAGATAATTTTTTCAGGAAATGTGAAGCAGGCATTTCATAAGAGTGCTTCCATATTGAAAATGTTGTGATATTACAAATAGGTAATTGAAAACTGTTTGGGGTTTTTTACAAAAAAAATCTTATCAAATTTCCCCTGAATTTTCCTCATGAATGCATAAGGAGCAACAATCTCACAACAAACCCCTGTTTGGAAGCACCCTCAGTTCCAGGCTATCTTTATCTGCCTCTGATGAAGTGGGTTCTGGACCTCAATCCTTGACAACCATATGTCAGGAGTGCTCTGATGGTGTTTCCTGTTTGGCAGGGGGTTGGACTCGATGGCCCTTGTGGTCTCTTCCAACTCTATGATTCTATGAATCATTTATGCCACTATAAATTTGATAGTCTTGAAGAGGTGCTACTGGACTCTTAATTGCTTTTGCTGCAACAGGCTAACAAGAGTAACCCTGTATTTTGGAGCAAAGGCTCCAAAAGATACTCTAAATGAAGGCTACTCTCCAATATGAGTACGTTATGCTGCCTTTCTGTCAATCTGTCTCTCTCACACACAAACAAACATCCTGCCTGGACATAGCTGTACACCAGGAGAAAAAGGTAATGAAGAAAAATCTGTGAACAAGACTGCAATGTAACACACCCATGTTTTTCATGAGGACCAGCACGGCGTGTGATTCAAACCTCAAAGCGATTTTGCTTCAAGGATTTGGCACAACGACTTCTAGGAGGAACAACATTACTTCTAAATCGCAATCAAAACTTGTCTAAGCTCAGGGAAAATGCAGGAATCTTGCTTGCATTAAGCGCCTATGGATTTAGGGGTCAAGGGTGAGTAGATGCCGCCTTCCTGTGATTTTTCTCTATTAATTCCTCCCCTCCCATGCAGGTGTCCCTGGCTGATGGATCTGAGCAAGCCATCCTGCCCTGACTCATATGGTCACAAGTTGTTCTGAGAAATTTCAACCATTAATTAGCTCTAACACCCTGGTAGAGTTTAACTTAAAATCAATGCACCTAGACAAAGATCAAGAGACCATACATGAATATGACAATTTAATGATTCATGTGTCAGATCACATGAATATTAAGCTCACAACCCCAGTCACGGAAAAATCTGGTGAGGAAAAATGCAACTGGTTGGTTTAACCGTGAATACTTATCTTTAAAGACACAGGTTAGAAATAGATATCACCAATATAGAGACTCTGGTGTGCAGAGACTGCCAGAGGAATACTTTAAATTGAAACACCAATTACATCTCTTGATTGGCACGAAGAACAAGTTTTTCATTGAAAAACAATGGGAGCGTTGAATCCAAGAGACAGTAGCTAACAATTCTGGCATTAGTTTCTGGAGCCCTTGACGAGAGACCCTCCATGACTAACACCGTCCCATCTCAGACATGGTACGAATACTATTTAAAAGTATTCTGTGATGAGAGGGTGGGCTCTGTGGAGCCTCAGGAGTTTACTATAGAGGACCTCTCAGAATGGGCACCAGTCACAACAGAAAAAGTTAGACTTCTTATTGCCCCAAATCTAGGAAGGCCCAGGTCCTGATACTTAAACTAGGTGCCGCTTTGCAGATATCAAACTGAGCATGCAGGCGCCAAATGGCCAGGAGCCAGCAGCACATGCAACTATAAAAGCTTCAGATCTAGCTGAATTACCCATCTTTGTCAGGCATTTGGCCTATTCTTGGAAAAAGTCTGAATGGGACTAGGTTCTATCAGCTGTTCTAGATTGGCTTGTGAAGAGACTGGGTGTTACCTGTAAGAACTCTTCCAGACCTAGTTTGGTGAACTCATATTGTAGGTGCACACGGAAGTTCATGTCCTCAACAGAGTGCACCACGATGTTGATGAACTGCATACAAGCCACCTGAAAAACACATTGAGAGAGGGCAGCTGGCATCATGGCGCACAACTTCAATTTGTCATTCCCCTGTGGTTTTGTCTATAGAATGCCAGGGTCTTCCCCAACGTGGTGTCCTCCAGATAAAGGCAAAGGTAAAGGGATCCCTGACCATTAGGTCCAGTTGTGGCCGACTCTGGGGTTGCGGCGCTCATTTTGCTTTATTGGCCGAGGGAGCCAGCGTACAGCTTCCGGGCCAGCATGACTAAGCCGCTTCTGGTGAACCAGAGCAGCGCACGGAAATGCCATTTACCGTATTTTTCGCTCCTTAACACGCAGATTTTTTCTCCTAAAAAGGAAGGGGAAATGTCTGTGCGTGTTATGCAGCGAATGTGTGGTCCCTGGAGCCGAAAAAATCAAACCGCGCTTCAGGGAGAAGGGAGCTCCGTGAGAGAGGAAGCTGTTGCTTTCCTGCATTCTGCCTCAGGGTCTTACTGCCCACCCTGCTCTGTTTCGTTGCTGTGTTTGCTCAAACGGAACAAAGAGCAGGGAAAGCCCCTCCCCTCCAGGCAAGCAGAGGGGAAAAGAGGAAGTGGCAGCTTTCCTGCATTCTGCCTCAGGGTCTTACTGCCCACCCTCCTCTGTTTCGTTGCTGTGTTTGCTCAAACGGAACAAAGAGCAGGGAAAGCCCCTCCCCTCCAGGCAAGAAGAGAGGAGAGCAGAGCGTCTTTCTAATTCCTCTCCCTGCTCCGGAGGGAACAATGTTTGTGAAGGGAAGAGAGATTACAGGTTCGGCTTAAAATTCTGATTTGACTTCCTGCTTTTTGTTTTTGGAGACACACAGCATTCAAATATGCTTTCTTCCATTTAAAAGGATGAAATCCTTAAACAGTGTTTTGCCTGTAAATTCATGCGATCTGGAAGATTACAGTGTCTGTACCTCTTAAGGGATGGCAAAGCTTAGGTTTCGCTGCTAAATAGTTCTTAATGCAGTTAAAATGCTTTCTTCTGTCATGCTGGTGGGAGGGAGAGGGAGAGGGAGAGAGAGAGAGAGAGAGAGAGAGAGAGAGAGAGAGCGCACGCTGGCTGGCTTGGGTGGGTGGGTGGGGGGAAACTTTTGCCTTCCTTTCCTCACGTTATAGCCCTCTCCTGCATTCTTAGCCTTCTGTGTTTTTCCTTCCCTCCCCACTTAAAATGTGGTTACAAAGCATGGATCCACATGGATCCTCAGGATCTTTGCATTGGGTCACCCCAAATTCACCATCAGAGCACACAGCATGTCCATGGCTACAGCCTGCCCCCCCAAAATCACACACCCATTGTTGCCTGGGGCTGCAATGGTGCAAAAACGTGGTTACAAAGCATGGATCCACATGGATCCTCAGGATCTTTGCATTGGGTCAGCCAAAATTCACCATCAGAGCACATAGCATGTCCATGGCTACAGCCTGTCCCCCCCCCAAAAAAAAATCACGCACCCACTGTTGCCTGGGGCTGCAATGGTGCAAAAACGTGGTTACAAAGCATGGATCCACATGGATCCTCAGGATCTTTGCATTGGGTCAGCCAAAATTCACCATCAGAGCACATAGCATGTCCATGGCTACAGCCTGTCCCCCCCCAAAAAAATCACGCACCCACTGTTGCCTGGGGCTGCAATGGTGCAAAAACGTGGTTAAAAAGTATGGGTCCACATGGATCCTCAGGATCTTTGCATTGGGTCAGCCAAAATTCACCATCAGAGCACATAGCATGTCCATGGCTACAGCCTGCCCCCCCAAAAAAAATCACGCACCCACTGTTGCCTGGGGCTGCAATGGTGCAAAAACGTGGTTAAAAAGTATGGGTCCACATGGATCCTCAGGATCTTTGCATTGGGTCAGCCAAAATTCACCATCAGAGCACATAGCATGTCCATGGCTACAGCCTGCCCCCCCCAAAAAATCACGCACCCACTGTTGCCTGGGGCTGCAATGGTGCAAAAACGTGGTTACAAAGCATGGATCCACAGGGATTCTCAGGATTTTTGCATTGGGTCACCCCAAATTCACCATCAGATCACATGTCTGTGGCCACAGCATGAAGCACAAAAATGATACGTCCACTGTTTCATTCAGAATATTTTTTCCCTTGTTTTCCTCCTCTAAAAACGATGTGCGTGTTATGGTCAGGTGCGTGTTATAGAGCGAAAAATACGGTACCTTCCCGCCAGAGCGGTACCTGTTTATCTACTTCCACTTTGACGTGCTTTCGAACTGCTAGGTTGGCAGGAGCAGGGACTGAGCAACGGGAGCTCACTCCGTCGCGGGGATTCGAACCGCCGACCTTCTGATCGGCGAGCCCTAGGCTCTGTGGTTTAATCCACAGCGCCACCCGTGTCCCTGTCCTCCAGATACTGCTGGACTAAAAAGAACAACCCCATTATACTGGCTGTTGGCCATGCTGGTTCGAGGCCTGGTGGGAGATGGGAGTCCAACATCATCTGGAATACACCATGTTGAAGAAGCCTGGTCTGGATGTTCCACCGATACAGGATCAAATGTTTAAAAAGCCTACATTCCAGGACACCCCAGTTGGGGAATGCACCTTTGAAAAGTCCCACCATCAATCCATTTGCTGGGAAGGAGAAGGAATGAAGAGGCAAGAGCCAGACCTAGGTCTGCAAAGGCACTGAGAGAGGACAATAGGCAGAAGACCTTTAAAATACATGATGGCCCACCAGGTGGAAGCACTTGTGAAAGGCAGATGGGAACATAGGCTGCCAAGTTACTGTTTTGCACTGTAAACCATGCAGCTTGCACTGTAAACTATAAACCATTTAGGAGTTGTTTCGTTGTTGATTAATAGGTATTAAATCAATCAATAAAAATATATTGACTGTGTGCAAGAGCGCTGCCACAGTAGTTGGAGAGTAGAACAGGGATGAAGAAGCAAAACACACTTTCTAAACTGTTCTGTAAGATAAATTGGATTGGGGGGGCGGGAAAGAGTCCCTACCCCATAGCAGAGATAGGTACCCAGTAACCTGCTATCCATACGCAGAGTCTACCAATCCAGTTCACAGTGTAAAATGAGAATGTCTGCACAGATGGGGAAGGCCTCTGGGGTTGAGATCCCTGCACCTCAGCTACCATGATTTTTGGGAGGAGCTTTGCATAATTAAGAGGAGGGAGTTCAGCTCAGCTGCAGACATTCACTTTTCATGCTGTGGGTTCAGTCTCCAGCATGTCCAGTTTTTAAAAAAGGATCGGGGTCAGGTGATGGAAAAGAACTCTGCCCAAGATTCTGGAGAGCGGCTGCCAGTTGGGGTGGACCAATAGTAAAGCATCTTCCTAGGTTGCTTCCTAAAATTCAATTGGCTAGCATGAGGATGCAGTGTGCTTTAATACTGGGGTTTTGCAGCTCTATGTTGGAACATGGTAATTAGAAACAGGGAACTGTCTTATGCAGGTGGCGATCATTTTAGGCACGTCCAATTGGCATGTGATTGCTGACACGTGGGTCCTTTTGGAAGAGGGCAGATCTGGGGCATAACGGGGTATAATGGAGTGGGTCGCACTTCTGTGTGCTCCGCCAATGTGCGGAGGGGCCGGGAATGGAACCCCCGTGTGAAATGCTTGCCGCCCGTACTGCGTCAGAACATTGGTCCATGTCGATGCAAAATAAGAATGGATAAATATGAAGAAATCTGGAACGAATATTTAAGTGATAAGGCAGATAGTGGTGGAAAGTAGTGGGAGGAGAGAGAGGTGGGAAAATGTTGTTAAAAAAGGTGTAGTCATAGGTATATCAGTGTATTCAAATCTGAATTATCCCATTGTGTTTTTATTGTTATTATGGTTTTTATTGTATGTGTCTTTTGTGGTTGATGTTTGTATCAAAAAAATTATTAAATAATTTTTTTAAAAAAGAACATTGGTCCATCCATTATCCACAGCAGGGGTGGAGAAGCTACTGGTGGCTCTGTCCGGCCATCAGAGCTCTTCTTGGGCCACATTCTTTTGGCCACATCCCCCACTGGCCCGAGTGTTTATGCCTGGCTGGAATGTGTCCTTGCCCACAGCACAGTCAGTGACAGCATGTATATAATCTTGCATTTAAGAGACACTGTATATACCGCAATCCGCCCTTCGCATCAGATTGTGGGAGCTGCGGGCATAAACAGAAAAGCGACTTGTGCTTTTATGCAACTCAGGGCACCAGGGCTTTTGCTCCTTACCATGAAGTCAATATTGCTGTCCTCGTTGCGGAAATACTCCATCAGCTTCTCAAAGCGGTGCTGCTCTTTGCAAACCTGAGAAGCAGAGAGCACAGCAGGGTCTTAAGGGTGCTTAAGGGTGAGCCAGCCAAATACAGACTGTTCCCGGTATGCAGTCTTTGTAGACTTCTCCATAAGTACCCCTTCACGTAGCTATTCAGCCCTTCTACCATTTTCACATGCACATTCCGATATTCTCAAGCACATTCCTGTATTCATTCCTTTACCCAGCCTCACATCAGCAGCAGGAGGAACAAGCAGCTCTGCTTGAATCCCTCGGCAGAGAGAGCATTGGCTCCTTCTCTTTCTGCCCTGCATGTGTAGGCTCCACCTATTTTTAAATTTTAATTTTGGATTTAGAATTCCCTGCCTTTGATGGATGTTTCAAGGGGCCAAACAGCAGAATAAAACAATTAATAATGCTAATAATAATCATTTAAGAGAGCAGGATCCACTAAAATACACAAAAAGTGGGGAGGAAAAGATGCCACAAAAAGGCAGATCAGATGAAATTGAAAGCCTAAGCAAACAGGGCAAGCTTTGCTTGGCACTTAAAAGATGGTGCCAGGCTCACACACGTAGGGAAGGAATTCCAAGGAGGCCTGGTGTCCACCTGTCTAACCTCAGACACTGAGGGTGTCGAGAGAAGAGCCTTCAATCAACTTCATCTCGAATGAAAGGCTACAGGGGTTTAGGCCATCCAAAAACAGGACTGGTGGGCTTTCAAGCACAGTTATGGTGTGGAGTGGAGCTACCTGTGTAGAGGCCCACTCCTGAGCTCAGGAAGGCAGAGGTAAACAGGTACCAAGGTGTGCTGGTATTGCAGTTTGCTCCTAAGTGGCACTAACACACGGGCTCTGATTTGGGATCAAAAGTTGGCGACTGCTACTCTATCCATTTATGCTACACGACTTTTCCTCCACCTCCCTCCCTCAACTTGCGTATCTGTCTGTCCATTTGTCCTTGTGTGCACAACTTTTTACTAAATTGTCCCCACTCCCACGCATACCCCTCTAGCCGTTCATTGCCATGTTCCTGCATCTATTTCCCTCATCTTGCCTTCCCTTCCTCTTCCAAGTTTGATGTCTCTCCCAGGTATGGGGATCCTGTGGCGTTCTGATGTTGCTGGGACTCCAACTCCCATCAGCCCCAGCTATCATGGCCAATGATCAGGGCTGATGGGAGCTCAAGAATAACTGCAGGTTCCCCGTTGCTGATTTCCCCCAGGGTGCTGTAGGTTAGTCCTCACCTCCTTGAAATTCTCAAAAGCAGCCAAAATGATCTCATGGCCGCCACGCACCAGACAAACAGCTGCCAGCAGTTCTAACACCAGGGCTTTTGTCCTGGAGAGAAAAGAGAGAAGCAAGGATGTGCCACCAACCAGAAAGAGAAGCAATGTCATTTTGCTGGTGACGCAGAATATATCCCACAATGATAACAGCATCCTTCGGATGCAATTGTTGCAGAGGCCTGCAGCAGGGGCAGCCAATGTAGTGACCTCCAGGTGTCGTTGGACTACAACTCCCATCATCTCCAACCACAGGCCATGCTGGCTGGGGCTGGTGGGAACTGAAGTCCAGGAACACCTGCAGGGTACCAAACTGGCTACCCCTATCATTCAAAGTTGAGGCTTTCCTGTTAGGGGGCATTGCTTCCAACAAGCCGCTGTCTATTCCAGTTTTGCAACACAGGTGTAGGTTTTGTGATCAGCAGGTGTCCCTGACTGTTCAGCTTTGCCCCTGCTCCTAGTGCAGTTTGATCATTTCTGGTTTCCAGCTGAACACATCCATTGGTGCGGCAACTAATGCTAGGTAAACAGGAGGTTCCCCTCTAGGCATAGCTGTCAACTGTCCGTTATTTGGCAGGAAACTCCCTTATCCCAGCGCCGTGTCCTACTGCTGTCCCTTATTGATGATGTCCCTTAAATTTCCCAGGTTTCAAAGGAAGCAGCTCCTCTCCCTCCCTCCCTGCCGGCCAGGGAGGAGGGAGGCTCCAACTGTGTTGCTTGGCTGCGTTGCTCACCCAATAAGGAGTCTAAGAACGACTGGGGGGTGGAGCTTGCATGCTTTGTGCCGATCAAATCGGCCACATTGCCTGGGGACTCGCCTTTGCTCAGCGCTTCCCAGAGGAGAGATGACGGTGGTTTTCCTTGTTGCATCCCCTTTGCCGGGTTGCTGCGCTATGGGAACCACCGCTTGAGGCTTCGTTTGGCTGCTGGCTGGGTTTTCTGCCTTTGGCTCGGAGGGGCTCAGAAGTCGAACATACCTGTGCCCGGAAAATCCCTTATTTTGGCTGCTGATCCCTTATTTTTGAGGCTGCTGGCCCCTTATTTTCAAATATGTAAGTTGACAGCTATGCCTCTAGGGCATACCCTTCTGCTAGGGTAGAGTGACTCCACATATATCTGGCATCATGGGCGGAGCCAGGATTTATTTTACGGGGAGCAGGCTTTATGTCAGGGGGGCAGAATCGAGTTATCTGTGATGCAATTGGTCAGTTAGTTCAGTATTTTACACCCATGTCTGGCATGATCCTGCCACTTTAACAGCAGCTTTCAAGTGAAAAAGAGCTTGTTTTTCTTTGTATCTCCATGGCATTCTCACTTTACCAATTAAAGGGCAGTTTGCAGAACTTTATCTGAACAACAGTGTATCTGGTTTGCTCCTCAGGCCCCACTGCCTTCTTGGTTAAGCAGTGCTTCCCATTGGTTTTCATGCACACTATACCTGCTGAAATTCCATCTTCTACACAATTATTAAAAGGTGCAGCTATTAAAAGTACCTTCTCTTTCACTTTGCCCACATGGGTGACACTGGCTGACTTTGATTTGCCCAGATGTAATGAGGAATGGCCATTACTTTGCACACAGAAGGTGCCAAGTCCAATGCCTGGTGTCTCCTGGTAGGACTGAGGAAAGACTCCTGCCCGAAACCTGCCAGCCAGTGTCAGCAGTACTGAGCTAGATGCACCGATGTTCTGATTTGGCATAAGCCACTTTCCATCCTAAAAAACCCCGGTGTCTGTTCTAATTTCTGGAGAGCTGAGATGGTGTAGTGGTATACAAAAATGCATTGTGTTCAGGGAAAATTGTTCGCAAAAGTGTGCATGTTCAGCAAAATTGCATGCAAACGTGTGCATAGAGGGAAAATGAACACTAAAATCCTGATGAAGTATTGTGAAGGCTTTAAAAAAAACCCCAAGTCTCCTTGGCTGCCATCAAATACAGAACACTGGGCAAGACTGGTCATTAGACTGAGCCCAGCAGGGAGTTTCCTAACTGAGCTGCATTTTCAAATGCTGAATTAATATTGTTAGGGAGGCAATAAAAAAAGTGCAAACTTATAACATCTATGCAAGAAGAAGAAATATTGTATATAAATTATATCTTGCAGTTCATATTGTAAACATTACTTTGCAGAGCATACCAAAAGACCCCCCCAGGGACATGGTTCACTCATGAGCTTGCTTCCCTCTGTATAAGTGCCCATTCATCATATAGTGCCAGGACTGGATATGTGATAAGCCAACACAAGATGTAAACCAGCAACTTTGCAATGGAAGGCCTGGAAACCGCAGATGATCAATGCACTTTATATCAACAACATGGCCCAGACAGTTTTTCTGGCTGTGCACAGAGATTTCGGTTAGGCCAAACAATACGAGGAAACAGGAGAAAGTTGTCCAAGTGCACATCTGTTCTGCAAATTAAAACCTGCTTGAAATCAGTTTCACTAGCTGGAGGCAGGCCATTGTTTCGTTTCGTTTTTCAGAGCCGATGGCAGTTTGAAGGAGGGATGGCTGCTAATAGCGTGTGAACTCATCCCATTTCCATGTTGGCTAAACAGGTTTTGCAGGGTTTCACGAAGCATTTCAAAAAACTGCAAAACTTGTTTGACCAGAGGCAATCCAGAGGGATCCATGGTATCATACAAACACGCACACACCACGGACCCCTCCAGACATCCTTTTTATTGTGCATCTGCTATGATTTGTGCTCATGATGGTCTTGGGGCAGTTATACATGATCCTGTTTTCAATACTGTTTGTGCCAGTTTAAGGGTGGCTATACCGCTTCCTTTCCAATCAGTGCATGTCCCCTAATTTCCTGCTGAAAACCTGTAACATTTCATAACACAAATGTTCTCTTTCTTAGAGGACCCCCACTTTTGTCACACTGCAGTATAAGAGTGGGGGGCAATAACACTGGGGAAGCATCAGAGAACATCTAAAAAGGCGGAATGATGTGTGGATGATCCAGTCTAAATCTAGCCCTGGTGCACTAGTACTGCATCAATGACATGCAACAACAAGTGTCAATCTGTCTGGAGGGCCTCATGGAAAGTGATGGTTCTCTCAAGCCACTTTCAGCTCACTTAAGAACAAGCTGTCAGGGACCAGAAGGACGCTGACTCGTGTGCACCAGGGGAAGGGATTTGTGGGAGAGTATGGAAGTGAGAGCTGGACCATAAAGAAGGCTGATTGCCGAAGAATTGATGCTTTTGAATTATGGTGCTGGAGGAGACTCTTGAGAGTCCCATGGACTGCAAGAAGATCAAACGCATCCATTCTTAAGGAAATCAGCCCTGAGTGTTCACTGGAAGGACAGATCGTGAAGCTGAGGCTCCAGTACTTTGGCCACCTCATGAGAAGAGAAGACTCCCTGGAGAAGACCCTGATGTTGGGAAAGATGGAGGGCACAAGGAGAAGGGGGCGACAGAGGACGAGATGGTTGGATAGTGTTTTCGAGGTTACCAGCATGAGTTTGACCAAACTGCGGGAGGTAGTGGAGGACAGAGGTGCCTGGCGTGCTCTGGTCCATGGGGTCACGAAGAGTCGGACACGACTAAACGACTAAACAACAACAACAAGTGATTTGTGGGGACCTCTACTTGCCAGGAGGCAAGAGACAGAGGCAGAGGAAGCTTCTGTTGTCTCACCACCAAACCCCTGGCTCTGAGCCTTCTTCCCCTGCGAGTTCCCTTGGGAGTTCCCCAGCTGGTGCCCCCACCACTCCTCTGTGCCCAGCCAGTCCACGACAGCTTCAGAGCTGGGGGGTGGAGCACAGGATGGGTTTGAAGAAAAAGAGGGAGCGGCAGGAGAGGCAAGTGAAGGGTTGGGGGCTTCCCCACTCGCTCCTGCACCACTGTCTCCCAGAACCAGGAGAGGGGAAATCCATAAAAAGGTGAAGGGGGAGTGGTCCCCTGTTGCTGCAACTGCTCTATAGAGCACAGAGCTGGGAACAGCAGCCTAGACGCTAGACTGGTATGTGTAAGTATTCAGAGTCATAGAAACTATTCTCAGCGTCCGCTTTTGTCAATGAAGAGTTAACTATCTGCCGTGTGCTTTCCTTTGGCTGAGGAGCACCCTGTGACACCGGCCTTGACTTCTTTGTGAAGAGTTTTGAGGACAGCAGTTCTCCATGGATGTGAAATTCTTAGTCCCATCACACAACTAAAACCCCTTACTGGTAGGAGAAGCCCAAGGGACAGCTGAAGAGACTTGACGCTGGTTGTAAGGCAAGCAGGACCTGGCATTTTTAAACACACCAAGAGCCAAACAAAGGGAGCCACATTAGTCCACCTACAGAGGGTAGGTTATCCATGTTTCCACAGGGCGCACCTGAACACCTTACCTGGGGTTCTTATTGTTCAAGCTGAGGGCAATCTCATTGACAGCGTGAGGATGAGACATGACCAAATTGAATCCATACTGACATGCAAAAAGGGGAAGAAATGCATAGAAGTATTAGGAGTAGAAAGAACCAGTGAAACCTCAGCGAAACTGTTGATTTAGCAGCCCAGGCACAGCCTGGAGTGGAGTCATTATATAGTGCAAATCATCTAGGAAGCTGGCATTACTAAAAATAAATAAATGATGTGTTTTCAAAGGACTATCACACATCACACAATAATAAAGGGGTTCATGCCTCCCTCCTGCCCCTCAAAAAAGTTCTTTTGGCTCAGATTTATTGCACGCACACGTCTTATGTGTCCAATCGTCTGCACTTGTTTCCAACTTCCGCAACCCATCCCAGGCCCTTTAGATGGAGCCAGGCTACAAGTGTAAATAAATAAGTTTTGATTTATTTTACTCTGCTAGGGTAGAATTCAGTTTCCCCCACTCATGAAGTGTTGGGTTTAGACTTGCAGCCAACAGGCATCGCTGACCCTAGCTAGAGGCAGGCAATGGGAAGAAGAAGAGCGGTCCTGCCAGCATTACCTGGTAGTTCATAATGGCTCGTAAGCACAGGATGCAAACGTGGACGTCATCCTTCTGGCTAACCAGCCGTGAGTTCTTCAGGGCTTTCCTGCTGGGAAGGGTGGTGTATCTGGCAAAAAGAGAGTCTTACATTTAGCACACTCATACACACACACACACACAGAAAAAGCAGTGAGGCTCAAAAAAATGTTTGCCCCATGCCAGTGATGAGGTCACGGCCGCAGCTAAGAACAGGAAGGGAGAGCTGTAATTAGAACCACCAGCTTCTGTCAGAAGGTTTGCCCAAGATGTGGGTTTCTCGCTGGCAAAAGAAAGGCTGAATGGCTACCGCTCATTTGGAGTCTAAGATCAACTCAGGGGTTTTGCTAATCTACTTGAAAGCTAAGTTCCAGGAGACCACTGTTGTCAGCTTTAGCTTTCAACACATGCACAAACACCCCTCAAGAGATAGGACATTCAGCTTTTATTTGCTGAAACAAGGAGAAATTAAAGTCATGCTGCTTAAAAAAAATATATACAGTTCCCAAAAACATGAAGCAAAAATATTGTAAATACACTGGGGATTAAAATTGGGTTTTCCAAATGGAATAAAGAAGTTTCTTGTAAAAAATCTGGAATACTCTCTAGGTGCTTGAGACACAGAAAGAACACAAGGGCCGAAAAGCTCAATGATCAAGGAGGGAAAGTCCCATATTTTTCGCTCTATAAGACGCACATTTCCCCCTCCAAAAATTAAGGGAAAATGTGTGTGCGTCTTATGGAGCGAATGCAGGCTCTTTGGCTTCAGCGATAGCAACGCGAAGCCTCCAAAGCGCAGCGGGAGCGCTCCTGTCGCGCTCCGGAGGCTTTGCGTTGCTATCGCTGAAGGGTAGGTGCCCCTTCAGCTAAGGCGCAGCACCCCTTCAGCGAAGCGGGAGGAGAAATGGAAGGGGCTCCATTTCTCCTGCCGCTTTGCTGAAGGGGCGCTGCACAGAGAGGGGGAGATTTTTTTCTTCTTGTTCTCCCCCTCCTATGGTTGGGTGCATCCTATAGAGCGAAAAATACTGTATGTTTGGCCTGATTTCAGCCTTTGGCTGAGTTTGGGGCTCAGCATATATATCTGCCATGTCTCTCCAGGACAGTATGGGGAGACACTGATCCCTTCGCAGCCACGACCCTCATCCAAGATGGAGTTCCCACAGGTATTATGCAGATTCGCCCACCTATGCTAAAAATGTCTGAACTCATGAGCTCCCAATTTTTAAAGACATGAGTTGGAAAGGGAACCAGATGACCAAACTAAGTAAGAAAAGGAGTCCACCCAACCCATGGGTACCATTTAGGCATCCTGTCTCCTGGTTCCCGGGAGTACCCTCTAAACTTGGTTTAATATTTCTTAGGCTAGAGGCAAAGAGTTAGGAAATGATACAAAAAAGGCATTGTTTCAACGTGTTCTGTTTCTTATCTTGGTCAACTATGTTTTGCAGGATTTGGGTAAACACAAAAGCCTCCCAAACCTGTTTAACCAGTCAAAATAGCAGGATGAATGTATATACCACAAACAGCAATACTTCTTTCAAACCACCCATCACTTTTTGAAGGGGGAAAATGATAATAATCTTTCAGCAGCCCTTGTTGCTCAATAGCTGCCTCAATGTGTAAACTGCTTTGAGGTTGTGGTTGGGTGTTCGTTTGTTTTTACAATCAAGTGGTGTGTAATTTTTTATGTAACAAATAATAAACAAAGACACCACAGAATTTCTCTGCTGGACCTGCAAGGATATCCAGCCACCTCAAAGTACCGAATGCCTACTATTATCAAGAATCATCAGGCGCACAGTTAAAATTGTCAGGAGCAATAGCCCTGCGAGGTAAAACTGTTTTTCTTTCCATTTTACAGATGGGAATCACGAGTCTGGGAGAGAAGGAACTTTTCCAAATTCAGCCAACGGGCCCGTGACTAAGTTGGAGCTTGAACCATGTCCATTCCCAGGACAGGAACCTCCGGACTGCGAAGTACCAGGAGTCTTGGACCTTGCTCTTGGATCATCCGTCCCCATTGACCGCTTGGCCACCTGCTTGCCACCAGGCCACCAGCCCTGGGTGTGGACTGCAGGGGCCCCCTCTGCGTTCCCGCACACATCTTCATGCACCTAGGCCACCGTCCAGCCCAGGGAGCGTGCACAGAATTCCTCACGCAGCAGCCCAGTGCAGAAATACTTACCCAGGTGAGAAGGACAGAGAAAGAGAGAGAACAGGAGACCCAGCAAAGACAGGCAAACAGAGCATGGCAAAAGACAAGGCCTGGAGCAGAGAGGAGACATGGCCAGCTACCGCCAGAGGAGCATCAAGGGGGAAGGATGGGAGTGGGGAGAAGAGATCAGCACACGGCATCCCCTGGAGGGCAGAAAGCAGGGAGGGGGTTTATTATTATTACAGAGCTCAGAAGGCTACACACCAGAAGGCGCAGCAGGGCAGAGGTACATACCGGAGGGCAGACTGGCGCGCAGAGCGAGCAAGGCTGTTGGCGTAGGGTGCAGACAGGGTGCTGGGGTGCTGCAGATCCTCTATGGACCTGCTCCAGGATTTCAGCTTTTCCAGCGCTCCATCCTCACCACTTTCCAGGCCCTCAAAATCAAACCTGGAGGGCAGAGAGGGATCACACACCATACCTATGCCCACAGACACCCCCCAGCCGCGCACACACACAGAGACGCTCAAGAACAAAAGCTGCGTAGAGCGCTCAAGCTCTGGATCCACGGGGGCTCCTCCCAACAGGCCACAAGCCCAGCAGCTTGGCATGCGACAAGGCATAGGCTCAAATCTCCCCCTGCGTAAGCAGGAACTGAACACAAAGAAAAACAGGTACAAGGCATATATATATACATATACGCAGGCAGGCAGGCAGACATGTTTTTTAAGACTGGGCCTGCCTTATGACAGGCCAGCATTGCATCAGATGTGTGCTCACAGCATACAGGCCAATCTGCACTGTGCTACAGGCTGGCTTTTCATTAGAAGTGAACCACCTGGCAGTCAGGTGTCTACATTAGAGCAAGTGCTGCACACACCAGCTTGCTTCCTGGGAGCTACTAGAGTTGTGTCCACTGAATACTGGAAGGAGTCGCAGATAGCTCAGCTGGTAAAGCATGAGGCTCTGAATCTCAGGGTGGTGGGTTTAAACCCCACGTTGGGCAAAAAGATCCCTGCATTGCAGGGAGTGGGACTAGATGACCCTCGCGGTTCCCCTCCAACTCTACAATACTACAATTAAGATAGACCTCCAGAGCTGGTTGCTGCCAAAGCAATTCCCTTGTGAAAAGGGGAACTGGATGCTCAGCAGGGCACTGACTCATAAGTCGCTCCCATGCTGCTCTTTGCATCTCGGTAAAGAGTTTTAAAGCAACTACACTGGCCTCCTGGGCCATTTAAAGATCCCAGTTTAAAATATTGGCCTTAACTTTTTACAACACAGGTGGGGACCTTATGGTTCACGGGTCGAATGCGGTCCTCCAAATCTCTCTCTCCAGGTCACACATCTTCTCCAGCCATCTCCTCCCTCTGTTTTGCACCCTCTTCTGGGTGTTTTTGATGGGCTGGGGGGTTGTGATGCCTCTAGCTTGCCTATATAGAGGCTAAAGCATGTGTGCAAAAACTAGCCTGCTGTACAGAGTCTCATTGCTCTGCTTACTTTTGCCTCTGGCCCCCACCACTGGCATGTGGCCCTCAAAAGGTTGCCCAGAAGGAAATGTGGTCCTTGGGCTTGAAAGAGGTTCCCTGCCCTTGTTTTGCACCTCTAAATGGCTTGGGATCAAAGTGGCTTCAGGTGTATCTCTTTCCATGTGGGCCTGCCTCAAACTGCAAGAATCTTCCTCAGGGACACTCAGAAGGGGTGGCGTGGGGGCCGATGAGAGGGCCCTTTCAGCAGTGCCCTGACTGATGGTTGGTATGACCCCAACCACCTGCCACCTGAACTTGCCCAGAGACACTGATGCAAATTTGTCTCACTTCTTCTCGGAAAGGCACCTGAACTGAGGTTTTCATAAAATTTGAATTATTTTTAGTGTAACCAGTTCATCAGTGAAAGGCCAGATGATTAACCAACTAGCAAGCAGATTTATGCCCCTAATAAATACCCCAAGGTGATGGCTATCCCAAAAGTTGAAAAAGGGAAGCCGGGAAGCCATTGCAGCAGACGGTTGCCAGCTAAAGATGTTCCAGATGGGAAATGTTGAATTCAACAACATTATTCTGCCTGCCTGGGACTCTGAATGAGAACATGAATAGGCCCCAAGACTGATTTAAAAACAAAACCAAAAAAACCAGGTAGCTAATTATCCTTCTGGACCGATTTTGTCTAAAAATATGTTTCACAAGAACATAATAAGAGCTTTTTCAGGATCAGGCCAGCAGTCCATGTAGTCAAGCATCCTGTTCTAACACGGAGTCTATGGGAAGCCTGAAGGACCCTCCCCACTCACAATGCCCAGCAACCTGCCTTCAAAGCCCCACTGCTTCAAATAGTGGTATGAAGAGGCACCTCAAAGGAAATGCAGACACTTACATCACTGCACACTGAGCAAAGGAGAGATAATCCACCAGCACATCCAGGCCTTTGTTTTCGTCATTGAGAAACTCGCGCACCCACCTGCAAAAGAAAAACCCAAAATGGGACTTTATTACCCAAGGGCAGCTCACGTTGACTTGTGATCCATTATCCATCATACCATCATGTGATTTTCACTTAAATAGTTGCACTAGCAAAGATTATGTTATTGCCATGAGATTCCCCCTTCCTTCCACCCCCAAATCTGCTCTGGAGGGTTGGGGAGGGGGGGACCTGGAATGGATTTAGGGGGCATGGAGGGGAGGGGGAGAGCATTCTGTGCTCAAGCAGAAATGCTTGCGCTGATGGAACATTTTGGTTCATGCTGCACTGAATACGACCCATTGATGGGTGGCTGAGGATGCTAGTGTAGACGCACTGACTAATTAATTGCCATTGAATGTGTATTCATTTAAAAGCTGTCTCTAGATCACCCTCCAGTAAACTGAACAGGGCAGCGTACAAAGAAAATAAAACCATAAACATTATAAATATCACAATTAAAACACAGAATGCAGGACAGATCAAAATAGCAGTAACAAATCAGCATGCAAGTCACTAAACCCAGAGCACACTGCCTTACTTAGCCCCAAAGTAAACTCAGAACAAACAAAGGTCCGTATAGTTAAAGCCATGGTTTTCCCAGTAGTGATGTATGGAAGTGAGAGCTGGACCATAAAGAAGGCTGATCGCCGAAGAATTGATGCTTTTGAATTATGGTGCTGGAGGAGACTCTTGAGAGTCCCATGGACTGCAAGAAGATCAAACGTATCCATTCTGAAGGAAATCAGCCCTGAGTGCTCACTGGAAGGACAGATTGTGAAGCTGAGGCTCCAAGACTTTGGCCACCTCGTGAGAAGAGAAGACTCCCTGGAAAAGAGCCTGATGTTGGGAAAGATGGAGGGCACAAGGAGAAGGGGACGACAGAGGACGAGATGGTTGGACAGTGTTCTCGAAGCTCCCAGCATGAGATTGACTAAACTGCGGGAGGCAGTGGAAGACAGAAGTGCCTGGCGTGCTCTGGTCCAGGGGGTCACGAAGAGTCGGACACGACTAAACGACTAAACAACAACAACAACAACAACAAACTCAGAACAAATCTGAAGGAAGATAATAGAAGAAAGGGGAAACTGAAAAGGAAAAGAGTTGAAAGGATGTGGTGGTAAAGACAGTGCAGAAGTGGTGAGGGTGGTCCAGGAAGAAAGGCTTTATGGAAGAAGTGGTTTTGTTGTTATTGTTGTTTTTAAGAAGCAATCCAAAAAGGGAAGCTTGGAGCTGCATCATGCTCATAAAGGCTAGAGACAGACAACACCTCCACCTCCAAAATAGTTTAAGATGGTGTCAAAGAAAGGTCTCTCTTTGTTGTGGATGCTTTCACCTGCTCTAATCAGGTTCTGCAGAAAGGGTGAGGGTTATGATGTTTCTAAAACCTGAACAAACCTGTTTGGCCAGATTTGGTAGAGTGCCAAAAGACAGACAGACAGAACATGATGGGATGCAAGCAATGTCTCTCCCAGACTACTGCCTGCCTCCAAGCCTTAAACAGAGCTAAGGCTACTAGACACAAGACATCAACAGCTCCCTCACTCTGTATAACACAGATCAAGTTCAGCTCATTTACAGAATTGTGTTCATTCAGTCTGGGGGCCCTGTGCCTTTGCAGCAGGGACAGACTGGAGGGGGTTCAAAGGAGACAGATGAACATGATAAAACTCAGAAGGAAGCCAGCCATGGCCCACCCAATGTGTGTTGCGGGGAGATTGCAGCATCCCCAGCTGCCGATAAATAAAGCAACTGGCAGGGCGTTATCTTTTGATGCTGGGCAGGGAGGGTTTCGCTCAGGGCCTCGCAGTCCCTTTGACATTCGCTGGGGATGTCTCTCTCCATCCTTCTCACTCTGGTGCAAGTTGTGGAGGAACATGAAGGTACGAATATGATCCCAACCTATGTCAAGGGATCGGACTGAACCAGGTGGAGTATGAAATAAAGGAATACAGTATAGGAGTGCGTGTGTGGTTGTGTATCTGTGGCTTTGTTTCTCTCTCTGTGCAGGTGTGCCAACTCTGGAATATGAAGGAGGGTGCCTGCATCTGTTTGGAGGCTGGTTGTTCAGTGTATGTTATTTCCAGAAGTAGTCATGGTTGAATGTGATTTCGTCCATCAATCATCTGGATACTGGAACTACGCATATGTTCATTCCCTCTCTCTCTCTCTTTCTCTGTGGGACAGGGGAGCAACACTCCCGCCCATTTCCTGCCTGTCTGAACTCCAGCCTCCACCCCTGTGTGTTTCCTGTCTGACTCCAGTGGCTGCTATTTTAGGGCCCTCAACACATTTGCTGGAGGTTAAAGGGCACAGAGGTGGGAGCAGAAGCTGCCCAAGGCAAATCCAATCCTAGCCACGCTCTGGTACAGGAAAGGAGATCGTGGGCGTATGCATAAAAGGAAACTGAGTTGGTGCGCATGCTTTTATGTGCTTATGAGCAGGCATGCCTGTATTCTCTGACCGTAGGTCCATGGCAGAGAACACGTTTTGCAGGGTGACGATCAAAAAGTTGAAGATCTCTCAGGAAAGACTTATCTCCCTAAGTTCTGGATTCCTATTGCCAGTGGATAACGCTGCGGTAGATGGACCAATTGTCGAACAAGATTAAGGAAGTTTCACATGTGCATATGCTGGGACAAATCTGTCTACATGTCCCTGGCTGAATACACAAGACTGTGCATGCATATCTACATGTACACATGCGAGTGTGTGTGTGTGTGTGTGTGTGTGTGTGAGAGAGAGAGAGAGAGAGAGAGAGAGAGAGAGAGAATCACAGGCTTAGGAAGGACCAAATGGCTAAACAGGAGTAGTGTTGAATGTACTGTTGGACCCACGCAATCCAGTCTCCTCTGTGTTACGTGGGGAGAAACAGGAACAAAAGAGGCGCCACGCCATGGCTGCCTGCATGGAAAACATAGCTCCAGATGCCTGAAGCGAGTGACCCATGACTCTCTGATGTTTGCATATGTCACTACTGTTCTAGAATATGCCCATACTGGGTTGCGCTTCTGGAACTGCCTCCCTCCCTCCAGAAGGATTACTGAGTTGAATAGGCAAGGCTGCGCTGCTTACGGGAAAGAAAAAGTAAGTTCCTGAAAAACAGAGGGACTTTTCTCAAGGGCAGGCGGACTGTTTGTAGCAGATTAGGGCTGTTTGCATGCAAGAACATTCCCCCCTCGGCATTTCAAAGACGAACACAGGGACTCCCTTGTGCGCTTTGCAACATTCCTATTCTCACCCCAAGGATCACGCTCCGAGCGCCTGCTCTTCTCCCTGTTGTCCCTCCCCAGTCCCAATCACACATTCCTAAAAAAAGGCTCTTCCCATCAAAAGTGCAACGCTGTCTCCAAACCCAGCCTGCTTTTCAGACCATATTCTTGTCATAGCTTAAAACAACAACACCCCTCAATGTTGTGTACCAAGTTAGCTCACGTTTTGCTCCCTGAAAAGCTGAAACCAGCAGCTGTGCAGATTATGCAAATCAAGTTGCGGTATGCAAAACATATGCTTATTTTGCATAATTTATTCCACTTCTGCTAGTCAAGGGGAGGGACAAACAGATAGGCATGGCACTGAAGCTGTATGTCAATCCTCCGCAGCTACTCCAGCACTATGACCATCATTCCTGTTGCCACAGTTTGATCAGACATTTCCCACAAACTCTCAAGCCTTTTTTTGCAGGCTTAAGGACCAGCACCTTCTTGGTTTTAAAGTAAGTGCAAAATTCTGTTGTAATGTGCAGCCAACACTGCTCACTGCTTTCTGCAATTTTGCATGTGGAATATAAGCTGGCTTGTTTATTCTGTTCCTCTTCAATAACTGAATATCAGGAACAGTCCCAAAAAGAACTCCCATGTATGCTTGCACTGTTATAAAGCAAAAAGAGTTTCACACATACCTACTTTTAACAAAAGATGCATTCCTTTCTTACTGACTTGCAGGAGGCACTGTAATTTATTCCTTATGACTCTTATAAACAATTTCATACTTTTAGTTCCAGTCACTGTTTATCTTTGTAATTTCCACAACAAACCCTTTGTGGTTCTAGTAGTAATTAGAATAAATTAGGTAAACATGGTGCTTTATTTAATCGTGCAAAGTGATCCACACACTCTACCACATTAATCTTTAAAACAGTCCTAAAAGGTAGACCGGGACACAGGTGGCGCTGTGGTCTAAACCACAGAGCCTAGAGCTTGCTGATCAGAAGGCCGGCAGTTCGAATCCCCGCAACGGGGTGAGCTCCCGTTGCTCAGTCCCTGCTCCTGCCAACTTAGCAGTTCGAAAGCACGTCAAAGTGCAAGTAGATAAATAGGTACCACTCCGGCGGGAAGGTAAACGGCATTTCCGTGCACTGCTCTGGTTTCACCAGAAAGCGGCTTAGTCATGCTGGCCACATGACCCAGAAGCTGTACGCCGGCTCCCTCGGCCAGTAAAGCGAAATGAGCGCCGCAACCCCAGAGTCGTCCGCGACTGGACCTAACGGTCAGGGGTCCTTTTCCTTTAAAAGGTAGACCAGTATTACACACACGCTGCATTAGAGGCTCCTAACCTTAGCACCCTAGCATGATGCACAGGGAGTAGAGATAGTTGCTTTCCTAAGGCTAATATCCCTGCTCCTGCTATACTAAGAGTGTCTGAGCTGGCACTGATACAATAATGGCACATTAGGACTGGATTTATATTGGGCCTTCCAGACATCATCCTGCTTTATTAGTTGTTCTGTGGTACTTCCCCAATAGTATCGTATTATTTCTGTGTGGAGGGGCACCCTTGTGCTATAGCGCAACAAAGGCACAACAAAAATAAACCAACAATTTGTGGTATAAAAGAACTGCAGGGTTTCAGGAGGAAGTCATGGGACATGTGCTGATTGGAAACAAGGTAGAATGTCCGCCTAAAACCTTTTGCAGGTGTGAAAGAGGGGTTCTTATATATAATCACTCCAACAATATCATTCATAAGAATCAGCATAAATGCACAATAAAAAGGCTGTCTGGAGGGACGCTGAGCAAAGCTACTGTTCTAGAAAGATGTGAAAAATGAACCCCGCGAAAATTCAGCACACGTCCAATTCTATTTCTTGGCCACACCCATTTGTGACAGAATATTGTGAGTTGGCTTTCATATAAATGGATGGTCATTACCAATGTCTATGACTAAATATCAGTTGCTAATATTATGGGCTACATGGAAAAGGTTTAATTTGCAGATAATATTAGCAAATGACTTTTGCAGTAGGTTGGGGGAGGCAGAGCTGCACTTTTGCAGAACAAGTGACCTAGCCACATATTCGGGTGCACTTTACTGAACACGTTCCTTGTTCCTCTGTGTCAGTAGACTTTGGCCCCCTTTGCTCTCCGTCAACTGCCTGCTAAAATCTAGAAGATAATAGAGCCTGTGACCTTGTGCCTTTTTTAATGTCTGGGAGCAAGGCTTTGGAACAGATAACCTTCTTGAGGCCTCTTTTGGCACTACAGTTGTAGGATTCTCCACCACGAATCCGCAGACGCCACCATCCCCATTTCATGGAAAACCCTAACGACACCTCAAAATATTTCGCTCTCACTCACAATCTCTCATTTAGCAATCCCCCCTTCTTTGTTATTGACTCTCACACCCAAACTGCCGCTCTTTCATGGCCTAGACCAGTCTTGCTGACTAAGCAACCCCTCCCGGTGTCAGCTCCAGCCACCCTGAGGAAGTCCCGCCCGGCCGGCAGTGACCAGAAACTAAGGACAGGAACAGTTCGGCTTCCTGCTCTTGCCGGCGTTTCCCTTCCAGCTGGAGCCAGGACAGGTGGCGATAGCGGCGCATTTCCTAGCTCACAACAGAAGGCATGGGAACCTTTGGGAGGATAGGGGCCTCTCAGGCAGGCTAGAGCATTATCAGCAGGCCGAGGGGAAGCGTTGAAGAAGAACGTCCTCATCTAACCCACCCTCCTTTTTTCTTTTCTTGCTTTTCTTGGCCTGCCTGTCAAATGGACCATCACCCAGGTGGACCATTTTCTGCTTCGTTGGACTGATTCCTAGGACAGTTGGACATTAAAAGCCCAAACGGATCAGGTCAAAGGGCCAGTGAGGGAAGCCTCCTGCTTCTTACAGCAGACAGCGCTGGCCCCCGGCCTCTTGAGTGAGATGGGCGCACAACCCTAGAGTCTGGCAAGACTGGCCCGTACGGGCAGGGGTACCTTTACCTTTACCTTTTATAGCATCACCAAAAGATGTCCCACCTCTTTCTTAACTTCCTCCTATTTACTTTTTTTTTTTAAGGTTTTGGAACAGAAGACAAAGAACACAACAGAAAGGACACTGAAAGCAGAAATGATAAAGTTTCATATTTGCATATATACCAGTACACAGGTGAGGATGCAACGAAAAGCTAACACACTAATTAAAACATATATATAGCAAGAAGCCTATTAATTTTTTAACCACTTAGGTAAAACTTGAAATTTAGTTTTTCTAAAAAATGTCTCTGGAGGCCCTTTAGGAACATGGGGCCCTAAGCTGTAGCTTACTTAGCTTATGCACTTCCGGGAATTTTACAAAAGAGGGTTTTTTTGTCCAATGTTCCCAACCTGCTACTGGTATTGAGTGGCATATCTCCTGCTACCACCGATCTGGGGAGTCCATATAACTATCATGACTAAAAGGTAAAGGTACCCCTGCCCGTTCGGGCCAGTCTTGCCAGACTCTAGGGTTGTGCGCTCATCTCACTATATAGGCCGGGAGCCAGCGCTGTCCGCAGACACTTCCGGGTCACGTGGCCAGCATGACAAAGCTGCATCTGGCGAGCCAGCGCAGCACATGGAACGCCGTTTACCTTCCCGCTGGTAAGCAGTCCCTATATATCTTCTTGCACCCGGAGGTGCTTTCGAACTGCTAGGTTGGCAGGCGCTGGGACCGAACGACGGGAGCGCACCCCGCCGCGGGGATTCGAACCGCCGACCATGCAATCGGCAAGTCCTAGGCGCTGAGGTTTTACCCACAGCGCCACCCGCGTCCCTGTTCTATCATGACTAGTAGCCACCAAAAGATTCAACCTCTATGGATCTGTCTAATGCCCATTTTAAAGCTATCTAATCCATATCACCCCACCTTGGGTAAATTCCAGAAATTAACTGATGTTGAGAAGACTGCTAAAACTCCACACCTCTTCCTCAGTAGCTGCATTTCACCTGGGAATCCACGTATTAGCCAAAACCTATACAGCTTCTTAAGGGACGCAGGTGGCGCTGTGGGTTAAACTACAGAGCCTAGGACTTGCCGATCAGAAGGTCGGCGGTTCGAATCCCCGCAACTTGGTGAGCTCCCGTTGCTCGGTCCCTGCTCCTGCTAACCTAGCAGTTCGAAAGCACATCAAAGTGCAAGTAGATAAATAGGTACCACTCTGGTGGAAAGGTAAGCGGTGTTTCCGTGCTCTGCTCTGGTTCGCCAGAAGCAGCTTAGTCATGCTGGCCACATGCTCCCTCAGCCAATAAAGCGAGTTGAGCGCCGCAACCCCAGAGTCGGTCACGACTGGACCTAATGGTCAGGGGTCCCTTTACCTTTACCTTTATACAGCTTCTTGTATTATAGAAACCCTCATCATTATATAACCCAAATTAAGAAGAAGGTGCTTATTCACACACACACTGAAAACAGAGAGAGAACCAAGTCAAGTTGGGAAACTGCACCACTTTATTAACCCATTTGCACACACAGTAAATCTCCTGCCCCCTGGCTACACATAGCATGCATGATCCACTCAAAATTAAGCACTTTAAAATCCCATTGACTTCAGTGGGAGAGATCTGGGCACGTGCTGAACATTGCCATTGGATCTCAAGGGATTTAAAAATAGCTGGCTCATGCCCCACATAACTTGGGTGTCGACTGAAGCCTCTAGTTCTCACCGCTTAGTCCGCCTCCAACATGGATCTTGTTGCTCGCATTTCGGAAAGGCCAATAAACAGCCAATAAACAAAGACACACGTCCATGTAATGTTGGCAGGATCTGGTGGCTGCCTTAAAGCAAGAGAAGCCTTGAGCAGTCCTCAGAACACTGTGCGCACCGAGGCTGAAGAAGGCCGATGCAGAGCGTGTTAGAGAAGCAATATCTCAGACCCAGACAGGGTCCACCAATGACTTACCCAATGTGGTTGGTCCTTAGAGAGATCTCCAGCTCCCTCAGCACTTTGGTGGATTCCTGCACCCTCCGACGGAACTTCTACAAGCATAAAGACCACACTTTACTGGCAGGATACAACCAATTTACCTTCCTCATCTACAATCAAGCCTGCATATGAGGGTAGGATCAACCATCGGGTTAAATGCATCTGTTATTTTCGTACCTCCTTCTCTGTGTTTAATTCCAGTCCCTGCTTATATTCTCCTATACCCCTTGTTCTTCATAGAAATAATACTACTTCTGCAAGAACTGGAGGGCCTGAGAGATTCCTTACTATGGCACAGACCAGGAGTAGCCATCTTGGCACCTTCCAGTTGTACCAGACTACAATTCCCATCACCCCTGACCAAAGACCATGCTGGCTGTGGCTGATGGACGTTTGAGTCCAATAACACCTGCAGGGCCACAGGTTCTCCACCTCTGCTATAAAGCCTAGCCCCAGAGTTTGCTTTTCAGGATGAGCAACTTGTCTCATTGGAAAGGGCCCTGCCTGGGCAAGTGATATCTTGGCCTAGGATAGCTTCATGTTCTGTTTTAAGGCCTCTATTTGAAGAAATCCTCAAATGGAAGGACCGCCTCGCCCTAGTCTGGTAGTAACAAAGGGAGAGCAACAGCCTTGGCGCCAACCAAGTAGCTGTGCTAGTGGGAGACAGCAGATGGAGTCCTGCTAGCACTTCCCCCTCCATTTTGGCTCAGGGATGTGTGTTTGGAGACTCCCCAGAGCAGTGGGCTGGAGGAGGAGAAGGGAGGTTGTTCCTCTTGTGGCAACATGCCCTGGAGGGCATCGCTGTCATATTGCATGGCCAATGCTTTGTTTGATGTTTCCAGTCTTGTAAACCATCTATGAATGGAACTTGCATACATTAAATATTCTGAGCGACTTACCTTCCGGGTGACTCCTGGGTCAAGGAAGCTCTTCAGTTTCTGAATGTATGTGTGGGGTGGGTTCTTCACCTGAAATCGTTCCTGTTCCAGGTCAAGGGTGGCCGGGGAAGAGGAAGAAAGAAGAAAGAAGAAAGAAGCAGAGGGAAGGAATAATGATTGTTAGGTCTTCAAAAGCACAGAGCCAAGCTTGGCCTAGGTCACCACAGGGGAAAGGTCCCCACTATTTATTTGTTAACATAGCAAGCCTCAGTGTTGCCCTGACTTGCACCAATGACAACGCTGTCTGGTCGCTTGCGCTTCCTGGGTAATCTGAATTCCAGGTGCTCCTTTTGTACATCTAATAAGCAGCCTTATTGGTTTCAATGTCTTATGTAGATTTTTTCCCCCTTCAATTTTGTTGTTCTGTATGGGGCAATGACATGGGACGCAGGTGGCGCTGTGGGTTAAACCACTGAGCCTAGGGCTTGCTGATCAGAATCCCTGCTACGGGGTGAGCATGAGAGGATAAAGCTATTCATGGCCACTACTCATGGCTACAGGCTACCTTCCAGGATCCAAGGCAGCAGCCTCCAAATACTAATTGCTGGGAAACAATGTTGGGAGGGCTATTGGTTCTCACAGGCACCTGGTGAGACACAGAGCCTAGGGCTTGCCGATCAGAAGATCAGTGGTTCGATTCCCCGCAACACAGTGAGCTCCCGTTCCTCAGTTCCAGCTCCTGCCAACCTAGCAGTTCGAAAGCACGTCAAGTGCAAGTAGATAAATAGGTACCGCTCTGTCGGGAAGGTAAATGGCGTTTCCGTGTGCTGCTCTAGTTCGCCAGAAGCGGCTTAGTCATGCTGGCCACATGACCTGGAAGCTGTACGACGGTTCCCTTGGCCAATAAAGTGAGATGAGCGCTGCAACCCCTGAGTCAGTCACGAATGGACCTAATGGTTAGGAGTCCTTTTTATGGGGCAATGACAATAAAGATTATCGTATCGTATTGTATCGTAAGCTTGAAAGGAAGCCATTTCCACTATCTGCTCCACCCATATACATTCTCTTCTGGGCCTTCTGTCCCGCCACTCAAATGCTAGCAGAATCTTCACCTTTCCCCTTAGGATTGCAATCTTAGGTAAGCCCCACTGCACTCAAAGGAATTTACTTAACTTCTAAATAAGCATACACAGAACTGGGCTGTAAGAACCTATGGTCTCCCTCTCATGGTTTTGGACCGGTCTAAAGCAACATCTTCATCTGGGAACCCACAGGCAGAGAAAAACGTTATTCCATGAGTCCCCAGTCACTGCCCAAGGTGATTTATGGAACATAGGCTCTTGGTTTATTACTACAAATGCATCACTGTAACCTGGATGATGAACCCACATATCTGATAGGCCTCCCTTAAAGAGCAGGGGCACCTAACCTAATGCCCTCCATCAGTCCTGACCGCTGGCTATGCTGGCTGGGACCTGAGAGGACTTAAGAGGACAGCAACACAGAGAGAGATACCCATGCTGGCTGCTACTGTTGCAGAGGCACAAAGAGCTGCTAATAGGATTTGTCAACTGACTAGGAAAGAATGACATGGACCACTCCTATGCCTTTATCAGCACCTTGATCTGCAAGAACCTCCAAGTTGCTTATAACATAGGGATAAGGATTATCACTTTCTAATATCTTCAGATCAAGCTGATGTTAAATGTACAGGAACAGGGGACGACTGAAAATAAATGGAGGGACAATTTCATCCCACTCTCTTCTCCTGAACCTAAATTTTGTGGGTTCCTTGATTAGACAGGGAGGAATCGTATCACAGTGTATTATGGGTAGCTGGGTGTGTCTATAGCTAGGGGCCTGTAGAATTTTCTGAGCTCAACAGGTGGGTGGCAGAATGCACAGGAGCCGAATGTTTTGGTCATGGTGCTGTGCAGATGCCCCGTGAAAAGTACATGAGCAAAACAGTTATGCTCCACAGTAAATGCTCGGCATGGAAGCAATCTTGAAATCAAATGAAAGAGCTTTTCCATTGCTTAGAAACTTTGGTAACTGTGCAGTATATAAATAGCTAAAATAATGTTATGGCCTGAAACAGGCCCACATGGAGGTCAGATGTTTACGTTTTCCCGTTAATCATGCGGGTAACAGGGATACCATTCTCATAACAACAAAGAATTAAGCAATCAAGTAGGAAAAATGCGTTATGATAAGGGGATCTGGCCTGCTCTTTCAAAGGGAGTCAAGGAACTGTAGCTCAAGGGGAGATGAAGTTGTTTCTGGCAGTGACCCTGTCTGAGTCATCAGCCTCTGCCATGATATGATTTGTAGCTTTAATGACAGAGTGGGATCTTACCCCACCAACAACCACCACAGGGCAGCCCCACCTTACCTGGTCGCAAATGAGGTCCCATTTCTTCTCGTTGTCATATTGTCGGAGGAGACGAGCCTTGTCAGGAGGGAGGTTCATGGAGCTCTAAGGAGAGGAGCAGAGAGACAGGTGGTGTGGATGGAGTTCTTGGACTGCTTCCATGGAATACATTCTGGGAAGCACGGAAGGACTTCCTCTTTCAAGAGAAAGTGTAGGCAAGACATGGGATTGTCAAGGAGCATATTGGTTACATTCAGCAATGTGCTGACTTAGGGGTGATGGGTCAGGCTGGCAAACTGGTCTGGTCTGGACAGCACAATAATCTACTGACTTGTCTAGTGTCCAGTATTTTAATCAAAAACATGCCAAACCCAGGAATAAAATTACTGAAATGAACCAATGGCCTTTAACCTTTTCAAGAAACGGCCCCCCTTTAATGTCAAAGGGGCAGCATGGATCCACATTTACAATGCAATCTTAAGCTTGCCTACTCGGAAGGAGATGACCTTGAGTTCAATGAGACTTTCTCTCAGGTTGGACTTTATAGCAAGGGATAGCTAACTAACTCCAGTTCAGTCAATTTGTCAAGAAGGAAGGAAGGAAGGAAGGAAGGAAGGAAGGAAAGAAAGAAAGAAAGAAAGAAAGATTCCCCCAAAAGTAGACACAGTGCTGAGGTGGGCGCATCCCAGTCCACTGATGGGCATACACATTGCCTTCTCTGCTTGATCATCAAACCAACCCTTTGATTAATGTAGAGGGGCTAGTAACCCCACTCTGTGTGTCTGTGTGGCCATCTGTGTACTGCCTGGGTGTGCATGTGAGAATGTGCATGAGAGGTGGCCACACCCACTAGTGGCCCTCGGAAGGTTAGCCAAGGCTGCAAAGGTTTCCCTTGTGTAGGGCTGCCATACATCTGGATTTAAAAGGTGGAATTGACATCCGGGGGGAATTTTCGAAATGTGGCGCTTTGTCCTGGATCTTAGGCAAGTCAATAAAAAAATCACGGGTTTTTCGGCGTTTTTGAAAGGAAAGGAACTCAACAACTTTCGGGATGTCCTGGTTTTTGAAATATGGCATCCCTACATTTGTGCCCAAAAGGTTACCTGCTCCTGGTGAACAGGAATGCAGCAAAAATAAATAAATCATGTGCTTTTGTATCCTTTAGCCTACATGTGTCTTCCTCTCCTCCTCTCTGTCTCCCTGTCTTTATCCTTTCCTTTCTGCTTCCCTCTCTGGTGTGACACACCAGATGAAGACCAAGGTACTCAGCAACCCTATGCAGAGATACAGAGATTTTTCTATGTCTCTCAGCTCTCACTTTTCTCCATCCTTGATAACATCTAGATGAAGCATGACTCCCCCTTGCCAGAGGCACAGGCTGGTAGCCAGGGGAGTTACTCCTTGTAGTTAAATTTGAAAGCCAGGCGGGCTGAGCCCTTCCAGGTCCTTGCCTCTCCAACCCTGTACCAGCCAGTCTAGGAGTTTATAACGCTGCTCACTTTTTGGTAAAAGACTTAGGCAGGCTCAATAGTATTTCCCTGTACTGCAGTAAGAAATTCAAGAGAGTAAGGGAAAAGAGAAGAGCCACCACGTCTCCTTCATACAAGGAGGAAATTAGGACATTTATTTATAGCTTTTTTGAAAGCATGTGTGCCACTTTTGGACTATAAAAGCAGTACAATGTGCCTGCAATATCTCCTCTACCAAGCCAAGGAAGTGTTCATTTGCAGGAAATTTAAGAAATCTCTAAAAATAAAACCAAACATGACTCACTCCAATACAATCATGAATGGGTTGTGGTGCCCTCAGCTACCAGAACAGCCCTGTTCCAGAGCTTCACACTGAAAACTGATACTAGGAGCAGCTTCTGGGTATAATAAAGCCACGAAGAGCTAAAGGCTGCAGCATTCACCACTCTGCCCTTCAGACAAAAAGACCTGGATTTGAAACCACATGAACTTCAACTTGGGTTCTACTGTGAGGAGGTAGGATGCTGTCAAAGCACTGCAAGGTAGCTGGGAAATAAGCATTTTGGGAAATAAGCATTTCCTGCATTGCCTCCTGGGCAATGTCACTCCAGTCCAGCAGGAGATTTCAATTATCAACCAAGACGTGTGGCTTTCAGCCCTTTTTGCCTGTGGTTCGTTGTCAACAGTGGTCAAGGTGGAACCTGTTTGCTACAAGAAAGCTGCTAGCATGCTATGGATGAACTGGAGAACGGATGAATGAACATCATTCAAGTCTCCTGTGAGCCCAAAATGCCATCTGCAGAGAAGGCCGCCTGCTAGATCTCCAAATAGATCTCCACTTTTCTGGACTTGCTTCCTCCAAATTAGCCTCCACCATGAATAAATCTGCTGGGTGTCACTGGATTCCAATGCAGAGGTGCAGTAGAATTGCCCACTTTCAGGGGAGGGTCTCCTCTGCATCTCCTTCATGAGTCACTGCTCTGGACTCAAAACTGTTGTTAATCCGGAAACCCAAAGAATAAGTGGGTTATGTGCTCCTCAGTGGCTCCAGCCCCAAATGTCTCATGCATAGTTCTTGTTTCTGGGCATTAAAAAAATAATAATCAACTACTATCTAGTATTCTCCCCACCACCACTAAGGTAAAGGTAAAGGTACCCCTGCCCGTACGGGCCAGTCTTGCCAGACTCTGGGGTTGTGCGCTCATCTCACTCTATAGGCCCGGAGCCAGCGCTGTCCACACACTTCCGGGTCACGTGGCCAGCGTGACAAGCTGCATCTGGCGAGCCAGCGCAGCACACGGAACGCCGTTTACCTTCCCGCTGGTAAGCGGTCCCTATTTATGTACTTGCACCCGGGGGTGCTTTCGAACTGCTAGGTTGGCAGGCGCTGGGACCGAACGATGGGAGCGCACCCCGCCGCGGGGATTCGAACCGCCGACCATGCGATCGGCAAGCCCTAGGCGCTGAGGTTTTACCCACAACGCCACCCGCGTCGCCCCCCCCACCACTACCACCACCCATTAAGAGATCAAAACATCACATTGCCTTTTTAACTGAATTCACATGGCATTTCTAATTCAGGCTTTGCCCCTAACCCATCTCCCTTGCCCTGTATGAAAAGGGGAAGGAGGAAAAGGAAAACTCTTGAACAACGTGTATGAGAATTGCCAGATGGAATATGCCAACAAAGGAGATCAGTGTATCTGATGCTTTCAAGGGATGCCAGAAACCCACAGGCAGAGAACCGCCTGTCCCTGTCAATGCCTCACCTTAATCAATCCCTCATATTAAGAGACGGGTTTGGCCCAGTCCTGTTATGAATTTGGTATAATGGTTTGGCAATCACCGGCTTCATTTTCTGTGGATATCTAATCAATCCCTTTTGGGGAAACTGCTAAATATTTCACCATGACTATTTCCTTGTGGCAGGCAGTTCCACAGTTCAGCTTTCTGCAAACATTGCCTCTGGAGGCATTGTGCCTCAGCCTCCCCACTGGTAATCTAGAGGAAGATGAGAATTTGCTGATCTAAGTGGATAAGGCTGTGAGTGTACCCCAATAGATAATACAGGTTCGCTGCCAGTGCTGGTTTTCATCCCCAGGAGAGTGCTTTAATGCAACTACAGAGAGACGGGTAAAGAAAGGTCTCAGGTTACACAGAAAAATTAAATAAAATGAAAAGTTGCGTCATGTTATAATGGGTTTAACAAACACAGTTCATCAAAGCCTGGAACTTGTTCAACTGGGGTGGAGGGGAATATGCCCATCTGAAAAGTCTTTCAAACCGCTTTCTAGCAGCCTGCTCTAATGTTCTCTTCATATGGGAGAACATGAGTCAGTTGCACACAAACACTTATCCCCACATTGCCATCATACAGAATATAATCTTGTCCCAATCACACACTAATGCATACAGACATACATAAGTCTCTCTCTCTCTCTCTCTCTCTCTCTCTCTCTCTCTCTCTCTCTCTCTCACACACACACACACACACACACACACACACACACACACACTCTCACACACCCATTGAGTGCACCACTGAGTGAGAGCCAACAAGATAGAAGTCTAGAGGCTAGGTAGTTCCTGGGTCTGGGAAATGGGATATTTGGTTACCCTAGAGAGGGTTTCGCTCCCCGCAAAGGAGCAGGTCCATAGCAGTTAGCGGCTGCCAATATGCCACCAAGCCAGATTTAATGGGTTGCTTTTTACCTATGAAACCCTAAATAACTTGGGATCAGCTTGGATGAAGGAGTACCATTCTGAATATCAGCTTGCCCCCTGCATTAAGACAGTCAGACAGGGCCTTTCTGGTCATACCACAAACTGTAGAGATTTACCTAGTGGTGCCCAGAAGAAGGGCCTTTTCAGTGCTGGCGCCCTTTCTGTGGAACCACCTCCCCTGTGAACTGAGGGAAGCACCTCCCTTAATGTAATTTTGGTCCTTGCTGAAAACACATTTGTTCTCTGGTGCCTTTGCTGGTTGTTTATACCACCTGGTTTCTTTTAACTACCTGCCATTGACTTAAGTGTCTGCCGTTTTAGTCTGATTTTTGTCAATGGATTGCTCCTGGGTTTTACGCATCTCCTTGTTATTAGGTACGAAAGGTGGCATAGGAAAAAAATAAACACACCATTTATTCCTGTTCCCATTCATGCACATCCCCATACATTTTCTTGCACCATTCACAAACTTGCCCTTTAGACAATGAACGTGCACACATTTATTCCTTCCTACCATTCCTGCTTCCGCTCAGTCCAGGGTACCATCTATACACACACCCAGAACTGATTCATAACGGGGCCAGCTCTACTCAGAAAAGGCAGGCTACCTGCCAGACTGAAAAGCCCGCAGACTCTGACTCACTCGCTCTCTGACTCCTTGGAAATGCAAGGAGGACGGGAGTCTCAACAAAGTCACTTTTGTTCTAGCGGGGAAGGAATCAGAAGTGACGAGAGCAACCACGAGAAGGCAAAGGGCCCACATTGCATTCCTCCAAATTGCTCTCAACAAAGCCCCTTCGGCCTCTGCAGCTGCCAGCTATGGAAACCTTTCTTACTTCTCCCCATGGCGGTAACGGAGGAGGCACGGCTGTGCATTGCAGGGGTCTCAACATCAAATGGGTTGCAGGGCCC